ATAGAATCATGCAGGTACTTGAAAACATACAGATAACTAACAAAATGCAGATTATTACATGACAAGGAACTATCTGCAGACAGTTATGTGGCAAGTTTTATTTACTATGGGAGAAAGAAAAGCCCTTTCTTCACCTGGTGTTTCCAGCCCTGCTGAATAGACAGTGCTGGGGACAGAGCAGTCCTGGGCAATGGTTCCTCCCCTGACAGATAAGTATTAATTTAATCACCCACTTTGCTTTATCTGCAAACACAGAGCTCAGGACTTCCCTGAATTAATCCTTGTTTGGAGTGTGTAGGGGATTGGATGGGCAAAGAACACAATGAGCCATCCAGTTCCACTTGATGGGTTTTTAACACTGCTATCACAAACAACAATATTGCAAATATTCTGAATTTCCTATAAAACAACTTTCAGTGTTTGTCTTCTGTTGGAAGATCTTGTCAGAATCTCACACTTTATGTTCAATATAAATTATATTCTTTGATTACATGCAGGATCCTTTTGATAAACCTGTCTCTGTATAAATCTCTGCCTTCCCTGTGTGTACTCCCTTGAAGGCCAGGAGTAATACCTGTTAGTTATCTTCATTTTGCTAAGCCACCCAAGTTCTTTCAGTCTTAGAAAATGAGCTCTCTGTGACTCCTAATCATCCAGGTAGTTTGAAATTATCTTCCATGGCATTATTAAATGAGACTGTTGCACAATACTTCAGGGGAAGCCCCTCTCTCCTCACTTTGCTGCCTCTGTTGCACACACATCTGGGACAGCCAGGAATCCAGGAATCCCACTGGCTTCTCCCACAACTTTGTCAGACACCATGAGAACAGACATATAGATGCCACAGGTTTTGTCCTTTTTTTAACCCCCAAGGGATGGGACTCAGTATTCTGAGAAACAATTTTTTTTTTCACTAATAATATTGATTTTCAGTTAAAGCTAATTTAGATACCTGTTTTCTAATTAAATCAGTGATTACATGAGTTTTATATCCTTCTAGAGTCATCAAATAACAGGCCAAATACCCCATAGAACCTGAAACTACATTACAGAGTCAAATATTATCAATCAGCCCAGTCTTTTGATCAGCTTAAGCATTGGCTAATCAGCAAAACCTGACTCCCAAATGACCATGCAGCTTGACATTAACTGCATTGTTCTGATTTAATTCTCTGTCAAGAGGGCTCTGCATCAGTCCCCCTACCTTTTTTCCTAGGAACAGAGATAAATGGATGGGCCTGTGCTGCCATAGCAGTCAGACATGTGGATCCCAAGGTTTCAGAGATGACCCTCAATCATTGTCCATATTAACTGAACTCCTTTATCAGCCCTGGCCAAACTGGGGGTGCTGGGTATTGACAACTGATATAGAAGCTTTTGCAGATGTGACTCAGCACTCCCCTGAGCCCTGCTGGAGTGGAAAGGATTTATTACATGATTAGCATATTAATACTGTCCTGCTTTTTCCCAAATACAGAATGCAATACTGGCTGTTGCTGCTCAATCCTTTTTTTCCCCTCTCTTTTTTTAATATTTTGGTCACTTTTTCTCTAAGTCAAGCTGATTTTGCAATCAAAATAACTTTTTTTTCTTTTCTTTTTATTTTTATAGTGACCTTTTTTAGTGCTCCTTGCAAATACAGAGTCTTTTTGGCTAAACCTTTCCCTGCAGAGACTTGATCCAGAGTTGCTTTCAGGTTATGAAATTAGCCATTTGGAAGGACCACCTGCATTTAAAATGTTTGGTGTCACTTTGTAATAAAATCCACAAGCAGAAATGTTCCAAAATACTTTTAAACTCAGGGGAAGGATAAGTTATATGGAGTGAAAAATTAAGAGCCTTTCCAATTTTGAATTAACGAGCCCACAGTTAGAACACTGTATGTAGTTCAGAGTACATCCATACTGGACATCTGACATCTGAGAAGGCTTGAGGAAGAAAAAGCATAGAAATCAGGACTGAGAGCCTTTTTGGAAAATGTTTTAAATAATGAAATAGTTTTAATTAACTGACAAGTGGAAAAGCAGAGTAATCAAACCAATGTCTATAAAAATGTTAGGAAGATACATTGCTTAATGCAAAAGAAGGAAGACAAAAAATTACCGAGGCACATTGTATGAGAGGACAGAGTTACTTGGTTCATTTAGGCTGAACTAAGACTGTATATGCCACTTCTTTATGGAACAGATTTTATTGGCATGGAGGATGCCAAGAAGATGAGCAAATAGACATTTCACCTTGGTTTTCCCTAGTTTTATAGTCCTGTTTTACTCCTTAAAGGCACTGGCTGTGCAGGCAGAGAAGCTAACCAAGGTGGCTTGAACTCTCAGCACTGCTGGTCTGGGTTTTCTGGGAGATTCACGTGCTATTTACCAAAGCAGCTAAAGAAATGAAAGAGCCATCCTTTCCACAGCTTTAGCTTGTACTGCCTCAGGATTTGCAGCAGCAGGCAGATGTCAGCACCTCTCTGGTCATTGCACAAAAAAAATCTCCTTGAATTGAGTGAGCATGGCAGAGCCTGCAGCCACTCAGGCAGTGCAGCAGTGCAGCCCCACGCCAGCTGAGCACTGCCTTTGTTTCCATTCCCACAGGTAGTTCCCAACCTGGAAACTTCTCCGGTATTCCCACCCTTGGCTGGCCTCCCATGGCTTATCCACAGCAGGAGCATGTGTTACACAGCAAAACTCAGCCAAGCCCCCAGACTCCCCAACCTGAGCAGTCCTTCCTCACCTGCTGGTTGCAGCCCCACAGAGCACCTTGTGCTGGTGCTCACAGGGGTCTCAAGATGAGAATCTTGACTCCATGTTTCAGAAGGTTTGATTTATTATTTTATTATATGTATTATATTAAAACTATATTAAAAGAGTAGAATAAAGTATTTCATCAGAAGGCTAGCAAGCAAGAAGAAGAAGAATGGAATGATAACAAAATCCAGTGACTGACAGACAGTCTGAGACAGCTGGACTGTGATTGGCCATTAATTAGAAACAACATGAGACCAATCACAGATGCATCTGTTGCATTCCACAGCAGCAGATAATCATTGTTTACATTTTGTTCCTGAGGCCTTTCAGCTTCTCAGGAGAAAAAAAATCCTAAGAAAAGGATTTTTCATAAAGCATGTCTGTGGCAGCACCTCAGCTTGTCAGCCCCAGGACTGGAGAGTTGCAACCCCTCAGCAGCTCCATCTGAGCCAAGGGAGAGCTGATCCTGGCAGTGCTGGGCCTGAGACCCTCAGCACACCACCACCACCTCCACCAGCCCCACAGCTGAGCACGCCTCTGCTGCCCTGTGGAGGCTGCAGGCCCCCTTTGGCACAAGCTGTTGCAGCCTCTAACTACAGCCAGGAGCTGGACCCAAAGCCATCTCTTCCCTTGGCATCTCCTCAGCCCCTTCCTCAAGGCTGCCTGGCAGCAATAATGGCACTCAGCTGAGAGCCAGGGCCTTTGGCCAGGATCTGCTTGCAGATCTTGCTGTAAACTGCCAGATCAGCTGGATCCTGCTAGAAGCAGCCTCAGCCTCCTGTAGTCACCCCTTCCCAAGAGCAGCACCTGACATTCTGGGCTCCTCAAAGGCCCCCAGCAATCTCAGAAGAAATTCCTACAGGATCTTGAATCAGAGCCAGGAAACTGGCGCTGTGCCCATGGCCACCTTGGCTATCCATGGTCTCTGGCCAGGGAACAGGGAAGGGGGCAGCCCCTCTGAGAGTCCTCAAACCTTCTTCACCAGGAGCTTTAGCTCTTCACTTTTACTGATGGTTAACATATCAGCAACAAAGTGCAGTCACAGAAAACAAACAGAACTAAAGCTTAAATAGTGAAAGGCAGTAAATGACATTCTGGCAAGCACATGGACAATTAAAGCTTAAATAGCCAAAGGCAGTCAATGAGATTTTGGCAAGCACATAGACTGTCAGGTGCCTGAGCCTCGTTTGCCACCAAACCATCAAGCTCAAGGTACAGCACATGTAACTGTCCAAAGCGTGCTGGGTGGGAGAGAGAAAGAGGTAGGAGCTGAGGAAGAAGTCACTGCTGCCTCATTGCACAAAATGGGCAGTGCTGTTCCCCCTGGTGACAGCCCCTGCACCATCTCCCCAGGCTGAAGAGCCCCAGCTGGGTGCCTGTGGGTGGGTCCATGGGGCTGAAGAGCCCCAGCTGGGTACCTGGGGGTGGGTCCATGGGGCTGAAGAGCCCCAGCTGGGTGCCTGGGGGTGGGTCCATGGGGCTGAAGAGCCCCAGCTGGGTACGTGGGGGTGGGTCCATGCCCACCTCCAGGTGAGGGGTGTGGCAAGAGCTGCCCTTATAGGGACGTGCCAGGGATACTGCAGCAGTTGGCTGGTGTTGGTTCCTGCTGGCTGCTTTGGTCTCTCCCAGGATGGTGGGTTTGAGGATAGACATCACCATGCTCCTGGAGCCTCTGGGCTTTGTTAAGGTCCTTGAATGGGTGAGTAGAGCTTGGGGGGCTGTTTCCTCTGCTGTCCCTGGTGTGGGTACCCCTGGGCGGGTGTGAGCCCCTGGCCTGACAGACCCTGCCCCAGGTTGCTGCTGCTGGGTGTCCAGCACTGGGCTGCTCCTCAGCCATGCCTGTGGACTGCAGATACATAAAATTGGTGTGGTAATTACATGATTGTTGATTTAAGGTCTGGATTGTGAGAAAAGAGTGTGGTAAAAAGTGACAAAAGCTATTCAGAGAGTTAAGTTAATATGTGATACTCTGAGCATGTACTTTCTGTTTGAATTCATAGTTGTGGATATGCAAGACTTGTAAAAATGTTTCCTGCATCACCTGCAAGAAATACTATGCTGGCTGTTAGCATACAAAAAAAACCCCAACCAAATACAACCCCCAAAAAATGTTCTGTGCAACTGAAAATAAATCATACAGAAGGCACTTTTAAATGGGCTTTGGTTAGCAGTGTTGCTTATGCTTTTGGATTTTAGAAACTTGACATTTTCTTCCTGACATCACTTCATACTTCAGCTTTGCTAACTTTGTTGCTATTTCTTGTCTCTAGCTATTTCAGCTAAATGTTGAGTTTGCTTCCTTTGAGCTCTAGTGGTGTGCACTAATGTGTCTATGTATCAATTCCTACAGGTTTTTGCCATCTTTGTTTTTGCCACATGTGGAGGCTTTCGAGGTGAAACTGCTCTTCTAGTTTCCTGTGAGGGTGTGGTAAACAAAACAGTTACAGCTGCTTTTTCTTATCCATTCAGGTGAGCATTAGCTCTTCAGTTATTACTTGATAATTGCTTTTTATTCCCCTTTTCCCTATCTGCCTCCTTATGAATGTGTTCTTACTGTAAAGTGAAGATGTGAAACTTCTGGCTTGCTCTGTAGCAGCAATAAAATATTTAGTTGAAGTCATTCAAAGCACTGTATTTGTTAGTGCCTTATAGAAAGAAGTAGTTAGAAATGGCAGTAGGCTGTTATGCTCTGTATTATTCTATCTTAAGCTCCAGTCTAGCAGTGCATGAATACTACAGAAAGTAATTAGCAAGACAAAAACCACAATCCATTTAAACAGCCTAATTCTTCATCAATTTGTAGCTGCTTTGGAGGTCCAGATAAGATTATTTTGAATGTGCCATTATCCTATTTTTGTTCAGAGGCTGAATGGAAAACTCTTTTCAGTTTATTCCAGCATTATCTTGGTAAGGCTGTTGGGCACAAAAAACCTAGATACTTCAGTGTCATTGTGGTGCTCTTGTAGAGACAAGCTCCTTTCCTGGAGCAGGAGGAAGGAGGATTCCTCTCAGTTCTTGCAGCTGCACAACTACAGGGAGTGCAGGGTTGGTGTTCCATATGTGTTCAATAAATGTAATAACATAAATATGGAAATTGATTCAATGGACAGCCAGTAACAGTACAGAATTCGGTCACAAAACCCAGCATTGTAACCCAGCATTTGGAGGGGAGAGAGGATCTGAAATAATTCTGTGCTGGTCACATGGTGATCAATGGTAGTCACACAGCTTTTTTTTATTCAGCTGCAGTGCTTGTGGGTTTTGTAGCTATAATGCCTCTGAAGTCCACCTTGTTTAACTGCCAAGTAATGTTGCTGAGTCTGCTTCCAAATCAGGAAAATTTGTTCAACTGCTCTAAAAATGCAATTAAGGGTCTTCTCCTGAAGGTACTGTTGTATATCTTAGTGCAGGACTAGATACAATCTTTAGAGAGCTTGACAAATCTTTGTGTTTCATAACTGATTATTTACATATCTGTAGTGTATCTTTTGGAGTAAACTTATACAATCAGAATGCTGAAGCATGGAGTGTAATTAATGAAGTGCAATAATAATGAAGTATAAACAATGAAGCAAATGAAGCTCCCACTGTGTAGCAAACCCTGACTACATGGATATAATCTTCACAGGTTGAATACTGCTGTATTTAGTGCACCAGACCCAAAAGGCTGTGGTGGCACCTGGACTGATGTCTGCCTCGTGGGTGACTTCTCCTCTTCTGCACAGTTCTTTGTTGCACTGGCAGCATTGGTGTTTGTCTACTGTGTTACTGCCCTTGTGGTATATATTGGATATAACCATGTGTATCAGCACAATAAAAAATTCCCACTAACTGTAAGTAATACTGAGGTGTTTTAATGGCTTGGCTTTGAAGCTGCAAAGGGATGAGAAATATTGCTAATGTGAGAATAATTGGTGAATATCCAGTAGTTACAAAAGTTAAATGCAGTGTGAACACAAGTTTCTCAGAGTGGTCCCTACAGCACTTTAGCAGAAAAGGGGCCCAAAGCCCTTGGCCATCCATGACATCACATCTTATGCAGTTATTGAAGCAGTGGAATGAACTTTCACTTTTCCAGGTGAACAGTATCTTCACCACAACTTTTCTTTTGTATCATGCAATTGAGTATATAATTGTTCCATAAATGGAATCTCCTCTGTTATTCTGACATTTTTCTCTGTACAGAGCACCTGCTGCAATTGGCAGAGGAAAATAGTTACATTGTGAATTTCAGTCACCTTCAGTATTGAAACTCTGAATAAGAAATTTCATAACGTGCTTGAAAATTGACTTAATGACTTTTCAAACCAAATTTTAGCCTATCAGCCACCCAGATTTAAATCCTCTGCCTCTATCCCATCACCCTCACTTTACTTAACTTTGGTTTAAATTCTCATAAAATAGGTGTTAGGCATCTGATTTTAGAAACAGATTTCTTAGGTTAAGATTGTCTTTTGCATCTATCACGCACAAACACATTGTTTTGTAGCAGATTATCAACACTGAGTTGTAACTATAACATTGTTAATGACTAAATTTGCTTGTGACTGTTATCACTGATGCAGTTATCTTGGTGATATAACTGATACTGTCCCTGCCTTGCTCTCATGTGTATTCCTTATTCCTGAAATTTTTTTTAACCTATTAATGAGTATTTCTCTTGTGTAGGACTTGGCAATCAGTGTCTTGATAGCCTTTCTGTGGCTGGTCAGTACTTTTGTTTGGGCAAATGCCCTTGCTGACATCAAGGTGTCCACAGGAGCCAGCATTGTTCCGGGAATTGAGTCTTGCAAAGCACCAGGAACAACTTGCCATTTTCTTTCTGTGACCCGCATGGGAATCCTGAATGTGTCAGTGGTATGTATGCCTTCCACCATATGGGTACAATAAATGTGCTGGGAAACAACAAATGGCACCTGAGAGCCCTGTTCTACTGACTGCATGTGTTGCTCTGTGTTAAGATTTCTTTATGGGTTATTTGTCATTCAGGTCCATGATTTCAGTGATAAAACTCTGAGCTAATATTTTCTTGGAAGAAACAAGTTTTTTTCAGAAGGAAATTAAGAGAAACATCTTGCAGGATCTGCCTCTAGAGCTGTTACATGCAGCATTTCTAGACACATTTGAGTGTCTATTTATGCTTTTAGCCAAGAGCAACTTAAAATATCTTACTGAGCCACCCAAGTGGTTTGATGACTGAGATAAGTAAAGAGGAAATGCTGTGCTGGTGCTGAACCTAACTTCTTACTCAACTGTGAGGATTTTTACACATCACATTGAGGTTCCTTGAAACATAATGGTATGAAGCTCATGTTCATACAAAGAACACTTCATATTAGAGCAAATTTCTTATTGTGTGATCTTCCTAGTGAATCCTACCTTTCAAAACTCAGGCTGTTATTCATTGGCCTAATAATCAGTCATTTGGTATGAGAGTACATGTGTGGGGGTGCTTAGTGAAAAGAATTTGTCTAATTCTGTGCAAAGTATGGAGTAAGTTTGACTATCTGGTCTACAAAGAGCTCTGTTAAATAGCTAAAATAGCTTATATTACTCTGAGGAGTTTGGAAATGTCTTGTTCAAATGGAAGGGGTGCCAAAAATAGTGCTTGTTACTGGTTTGTCTTGAAGAGACTTTCTGGCTTGTTTTAAAAAAAGGAAAACAAAACCCAATCAAACACAACAAACTTATATTTCCCCCCTTTTTCTTTCTCTACAGGTATTTGGCTTGCTTAATATGATTTTATGGGCAGGAAATATTTGGCTTATATACAAGGACACCAACCTGCACAGCCAATGGAACAGAATTTCTGAAAGTCCAACTGAAAGGGTATAAAAACAAGTTGATATTTTGAAGTGCTTCCACTTTCCATGTTCTTGGTAGTGTGATGTGAGCCATTAGGATTCATTTCAGCAATGACTGATAATTCATACAAACTTCTGTTTTGTACTATGGTTTGATGGAAGGTCCTGGGTACTCCAACTGAAGTGTTTAATTATCATGAAATATATTGTCTTTCAAGGCTGTGCAGCATTGTATTGCAGTTTGTGAAGAGCAAAATGAAGAGGTTATCTGGATGCTGGCCCTTTCTGGTTCTTAAATTAGCCTTATAGGAGGCATGGCTGAGAAGCAGCTCTATCTGGGTTATTACTGCATCATATTTAGTTCTGCCAAGTCTCCTCTGAAAAATGGAAAATAAATTCATCCAGGGCAGGTGAAAATGCAGTTTAGTTTCTTGTGGCCACTGATAACTAGCAAAAGTCACCTGAGTAGAATTCATAGCTCTGTCAAAGTTGCAGCCAAGATGTGTAGGTTCCCAGATACAATGATCTGAAAGGACTATCAGATCTGCTGCTGAGCCTGTCAGGAAGGACATTACTCCTATGTTTAATATGCTGTTACTGTTTAATGGCTTGGGGACGATCTCTGAACAAGGCAATTTGTTGAATGAGTTCATAGCTTCTAGTCTCACTAATATGAGAGTTTGTATATGGAAGCAATAGATGATGGAGGTGGGGGTGGGAGGAAAAATAAGGTATGGCCCAAAACACTCACAAATACTGTACAAATCAAAGTTGATATAGTCTCCTACATTGAGATGTATGAACAGAGTTTGTACATGAAAGGATGGAAGGGGAGATGTCTGAATAAAACAAATTCTTCATTGATGTTCAGCTCATTCATTGGGAATGGTATTTGGGTCTTCTCATGTGGACTTCTTTGTTAAGGTGTCTGACTCCCTGTGAATTGCCCAGAGAGAATGCTTCAACAAACTTAATACAAAGGCTGTTCAGTTCTTTTTGGTTTGTTTAAACTGTTTGTGATGAACATAGACATAGTAGTGTGTATATAATGCAAATTGTAATTGTTTGGTGTGCCAGAGCTATTGACCTTCTGATAGTAAACTGTACTGTCAAAGAGTGCAATAAAGTCAGTGTGAGTGCTGCTGAAGGAATGTGCCTTGGGAAATCCTTTGTGCTGCAGCAGTGCATGCAGATGCATTCACTGGCTTTGCAGCCTCTGGGGCAGGGCTTTAGCTGTGGCTGGAGGAGTTACCTGTGCTGCAGGAGGGGCTCTTACACTGGGGCCCTGTGGGCTTCTGGTAAAGAGGGCTATGTATCACTCCTGCAGGCTTCTGCTGCTCAGCACTTCTTTCTGTCTGTTCAGAACAGAGACTTTTGTAACTTATAGTTATCCAGATTTTCATTTGAATTGCCCTTTGGAAGAGGTAATACAGGCAATTTTCACTTGTTTGCATCACTGTGCAGGTTTATTTAAAAATACATATTTCATTCTAAAATCTGAAACTCTTGTTTTCATGTTGTCTAAGAAAAAAGATGGTAATTATACATTAAACTTTTCAATCTTTGGGACTTAAAGTTGTAGATGATATGGCTAAAAATTTTATTAACCTTTAATATTTTCAACAGAACTATGTTACTGTCTATTTCTTACGTGCTTATCTATTTTGTCACACATAGACCCGTTAGTCAATGGTGTGGCCTACTTGTAAAATGATAACAGTGAGTATTTTTGCACACATCAGAGGCTGTAATGGATTAGATCAGTATACGCCTTATTGATGGCTGAGTTCTAGTCAACAAGCGAAACAGAGCTGGAAAGCTTAGCACACTGATTGTTTCAAAAAAACCTTAAGTTTCATACTCACTCAAAAAGACATCCTTTGTTTCCTTAAGGCTGAAATTTACCCTTAGACTTTTTGTAGAAGAAACAAGTGTGTCCCATCCCCAGAGTGCTGTCCTTCAAAAAATGAGGTGATGGAAGAGGCAGGGCTGTAGGTGGTAAAACAGAGATTCACAAATAAGAGGTTGTGTTCGGTACAAATTCAGGCTGCATGTCTGTTCCACAGAGCTAAACGCAGAGCCAGGCTGCTGTTAACAGGCCAAGGTAAGTGTGATAGGTAGTCCACAGTAAGCAAGATTCTAATAAAGGAAAGGTAACCCCATGTGCAGTTCTGGCTCGTTAGGATAAAGCTGGCTCCCCTCTGCGAGGGGAGGGACTGACAGAATCCTGCAGGCTTTGATGGCTGCTCGGCCCTGCAGCTGGGATGGCATGGGAAGCATCCTGCAGCAGGGGAAAGCAGCTGCTCTCATTTGTCCTGGACCCCCACAAAGGGCTGAGCAGTCCCTGCCTTTGAATTAACATCATATTTGTGCTGGCAACCCCAAAGCACTCAGTGTCTTATTTACTCATGGCGGGGGAGGGGTTGGCTGTCTGATTTCCCAGCTTTATCTTGAGTGCACAAGAGTCACCATTGCTATCAGGGGATGCAGTGTGCTTGATCCCTCTGTACTGAGGCAACAAAGGGCCTGGATCTCTGCCAACTCTCCACAGGTTTGTAATCCTCAGCTGGCAGCAATTTTACTTGCAGCCATCAGTGGAGCAAGCTCATAAAAATCCTCTCATACTGCAGGAATTATCCTGGTAGCAGCCCTAGCAAATCAAGTGCTGTATGAGCCCTGGTGTGATGCTGGAGAGGGGATTTTGATCAGAAACCCACAGTGGGGAGGAAGGCTGTAAGGTGATGGTGGAGGGAAATAAAGCTGAGGGGTCAGCATGGGGTAACAACAGAGAACTCCTTAGTGAAGAATAGAATCCATTAGCAGTAGGAGGTGTTTAAGGAAGCAAATACATTGATTTAGGCTGCTGTGACCAGCGATCTGGGGCTTAGGCCTCTGTGACAATGCTGTATATTGTGTATATTCTGCATGTACTGACTCCTGGGAGCATCCCTGCTGTGGGAGCTGGCATGGTGACAGTGCTGGCTGAGAGCTTTGCCACCAGCCTGCAGGAGAAGCAGTAGGAAACTAAATCCAAGAGAGGCCTGGCAATGCTAAATCCCCAAGAGCCAGTGCCAATAGTGCAGAATGGAGTCACTCTGGGGTCTGTACCACTTTGGCCCTGTCACCTCAGCAGCAAACCCATCTGCAGCACAGGGCGGGAACACTGGAACACGGGCTAACAGGCCAGCACTACTGCTAGAATGGATTGCACTGGAGCCAAACAGTGAATGGGTGGTCAATTCCTCAATGCTCTGGCTCTGCTGCACACTTGGCTGGCAGTGGAAGGCATGGGTGTGGAGCTGCCACTGAAGGTGAGAAAGGAGACAGATGCCACCTTGATGTGAAGGGCTGTGAGACTGTGGGTTCATCACCTCCTCACAGACATAGGGCACCTGCAGCCTGTTTATTTTCCCCATTGCCCAGAACTGAGCAGCACACAAAGCTGGGGCCATGCTGTGCTGATTTGGCTGCCTGCCCTACTGCAAACTCCTTGGGAGCTGTAGGGAACCTCACTCCTGGAAACTGCCTGAAGACAGTCCCTCGTGCTTCCAAAAAGGCCCCACTCCTGAGCAAGTCATGACAGCACATCAAATATTCTGGATCATCATGGATCATCTACTTCTATTCTTGTGGGAGGACTTAGTGTGTGTTCATTCCTAACAGATTTGCTGTATTGCCTAAAGCAAAACTGTTGTCACAGAGACCAGAGTCAGAAGCAAGAATTTGCTGCTTAATCACCCTGAAATACTAAGCTGAATAATTAGTTAAAAGAGTGGTACAGGATTGGAGTGCATCCCCATCCATTAAATATTAGGGAATGAGGGCATTTTCTTCAAGTTTAAGATCTAGTCTCTGTATATTAGTTGCATTTTAGAGACTGATTTAAATGTGCAATTCCTTTCTGTCATGTCAAATGAATCCAGGTGTACCCTTCTAAACACTTCTTTCCTACAGACACTATCTATTTAGAGCAGGAAGAAGAAATTAAAATTTTAGCCTTGTGTTTTTACAAATTTTCCTTTTTATTTTTATTTGTAACCTCCAAAATTTTGCCTGCACAAAAGCACTCTTCCTGCCTGGATCTTTCATTCTTCTTTCTGAGTTCGGGGAAGGCAGCAAGATAAAGCTGTATTGTGCCATCCTTAAAATTTGTGGCCACATGGATACAGTCAGAGGTTTGCTCATTTTTTCAGGAGAAGCACCCTAGGGGCTAGGGAAATATGCACCAACCCTGACCGTGTTTTTCTTTCAGTCTTTCTTTGAGGAAATCTTATTCTCAGTTATCCGTGTTTTCAGTTAATGTTTCACTGTGGGTTCTGCTTGGCTGATACAGGAATGCTTCCTCAGGCTCTTTTTTTTTTTTTTTTCCCTTACCTCCTGGACAAAACCCATAATACTCAGTAGAATATCCTTCTTATTCTTCTATAAGAGTGTTCTTCTGTCTAGCTCTCTGAGTAGGTTCCCTCTCATTCTGCTACATCAGTGATTGTTGCAAACAGTGGGGGTGTATTTGGACAGCTGGCTCTCATAATCCATCAGGCCCATGGAATCTGATTGATTGCTGCTGCTGCCAGGAGATTGTGCCTGCTGCTTGCAGGTACCTGTGCCCTATCAGCAAAGTGGTTTGTGCTTGCCATTACATCCTGTCAGCAATTGAGCAACTCCTCATTAATTCATAAATCTTGCTCTGTCTTTTCTTGGCTTGTTGACTTCATGTTACTGCTGCCAGCTGTGTTTCCTCCTTAATTGTCTGTGCAGCCTTTGGCCTTAATGCAGTCATGGAGGAGGCTCTATGCTGATATTTAACTCACAATCTGAGCAAAAACTGGTATTAGCATGAGCTTTAATCAATTCACCTGTTTGGTTTCCATTTAACTTGAAGTTTGAAGTAGCCTGCACTCAGAGCCAAAGTTGTTGCTTTCTGTGGCCTAAGATCAGTAGCTGAATCCCCTGGGTTATTTCTTGTCATGTAAAGCAGCAGTCATTTCACATGCTGCACCTGCCCCGCCTTGGGATGGTATTCTGTCTGTTGTTATACATGTTGATCTTCCTAGCTCCTTTTTATTTTCTCATTTATATTTGACATCCCCTAAATCATCTTCCTCTGGTGACTTCAAATCCAATTCTCCACTACTTTCTGCAGATACAGCAGCTATTTTTAATTTTTGCATCCCAATCTGCTTTTGCAAGCATCTAATTTTGGCTTCACATTTAATATGATCAGGTTCCCTTGGAGGTCTCCTTTGCTCTGGGGTGAATGGCTGCACTGTGCATGCTAATCCTTCTGCTGGATTCTCCTGCTTTGTGCTTCTGTGGCTTTTCTTTGCCTTTTTCTGAATTGAAAATGCTATATTTCACTATTACCTTTATGAGCCACTAGACTCTACTCCTTTTCAAGCTTTGTAGTATTTTCTTTTTAAACAGCTTTCAGATCAGAGAAATTATTTTCTGCTTTTACACTGGCTCTAGCGGAACAAAATGTTTTAGCTGCTCCCCCAACAGCCACATTAATACAGGAATTGTATACTCAGGTTTCATTTCATAATCACTCTAAAATGGCTAGAGAACACTTATTTCTATATTGTGCCTGATCTATGAACTGGAATGGCACATCTCTTCTTCCACAGAGAGGTGGCTGCAGCATGGAAGATCTCAGGGGTAGTTTTTCTGTAGATTCTCTTATATTGCTCAGATTTTCAGTTGGCATTTGGGTGGCATTAGTGGCTTCTTGAGGTCTCTGCCTGCAGCGACATAAAGATTGCTGTCCAGCAAAGAAAGACTGGGCAAACCATAAAGGACAGATGTTGGCTATCTAACAAATCTTTTTCTGGTACCATGCAACAGCCTAGTCTGCAACGCAGCAAAAGGAAGTTATGATGCCTTGAGACTGAATTTGACCTACTCTTACACAAGGAGTTTAGCACTGGGAGTTTTCCCTCTCTTCAGAAGGGCCACTGTTGGCTCTGGGCCCTTTACTGACATGATGTGCTTCTACTGCCCCAGAACAGGTCCTGTTTACACCACAGAAACAGCCTGAAATTCAACTGGACATTTCACTGTGAGCTGACCAGCAAAGATCCCTGGTCAGCAGCAGAAGAAGAGAGGACACAATATTCTCATAATGAGTGCAAAGGAGAAAAATGGGGATAGAGTCCTTGAAGCTGCAGCAGCCCAGAGCTGAATTTGGGGTTTTCAGAGGTTCCCAGTAGTGACTGTGCATGCAAGGCATCTTTATGACAGTGTGCAGGCAATGATCCCAGGCACAACAGCAGGAGTACCCCTGGAGAGGGCTCATACAGAAACTGGCATGGTACTGGGAAGGTCTCTTCCTAGCAAATCATGAATGCAGGTAGATCAAGCAGTCATGGTTAGAGAATAAAATAGTATGCGTTAGTAGAGGAGACAAGGATGATTATTTTTAGCTTTAGTTTCCACAGAGACTGTGCATCAAAAGTAATGAGAAAGGACTGGCAGGCACAGGAGGCTTTTGCATTCAGCTCCTTGAAGAGCATCTCGAGAATGAAGACAGACCAAGAAATGAATTTGAGAAATGCTTTGCTAAAATAAAAAGCCAAAGGGCCTATATTTCCTTTTTGTCCTGATGCCCTGAAAGCGCTTAATTAAGGAAGTAATTTAATTTTGAACTTTACTGACTGTCTGGTTTATTACGCGGCAAATGTGGGCCCTTCAGAGCTTTCAACATTTCCTTGCTGGAAGTAGAGCAGGACTGCTGCAAACTTGGAAGATCTCTGTTTTCTTCTTCAAGAGACCATGAACTTATTTTTCCCTGAGCTGGGCAGTTACTTGTATGGATTTACAGCAAGTGCAATAAGCCTCCAGGCTGGAGAGAAGGAGTTTTACTGGCCATGCATATGTGCTGGTGCCCCAAAATGGGCAGAAAGGATCAGTCCCTTCTGGATTAATCTCTTGAGCTACCACTCAGTTGCAACCACCTGTCGTGACCTACAGCTAACAGAGCTGAAAGGACAGTGATTCTTTCATGCAAGGAGAGCCAGCAGAGTGATTGCAGCCAAGTTCTGGCTGGAGGCACCCTGGGGCTGGCTGCTGCTTTATTGTGTTAAGAGGGTAAGTTCATGCCCTTTTAACTCTGTGGAAAAAGCTTCTGGTTCAGTGATGGGGTAGGATCTCCTCAGGAGCATGTAAGAGCATGGTAGTGATTCAGCACTGGCTGTGCATGAGGAAATCCCTGTCCTGACTTACAGAGCTACACTAAAATGCTGTCCTGAAATGTCTGTTATTCTAGTTCTTTGTTGATCATCCAAGCTGGCTCCCACACTGCACCAGGGTGGGGAGGGGACAAAAGGGTGTGAGGTAAGCTGCAGCTGTGCTGGTCCTGGAGGGTGCCCTGCAGTCGGTGAGTTGTCCCAGGGACACCACCCTCCCTGTGCAGACAGACACCAATGCTCTCCCCACTTCCCCCTTCTCTCTCATCCCCTCCAGCACCAGTGGGGTTGGGGGGGGTGCCAAAACACATCCTGGCATCAGGCAAAGTAGTTTGGGAAATTCTTCACTGAGGTTTATGTATCACTGAGCTGGATTTGCTGCTGTTAGACATTGGTGGGACTCAGATCTCCCTGGTCAGGCTGAAGTGGGGTGCTCACATATCTGGGGAGGCTTTTGGGGTAGTTGATTGGCAGAACAAGGCCACTTTCATAGCTGGATAGCATCTGAATAGGTGAGATTTCATTTATGGATTTTAGTCCTTGCTTTTTAATACTTCATAACAAGCAAATACTGTTGTGTTTTGCTATAGTGACTCGGAAATACCCTTCGGCAGAAAGTCACGGGCAGAAATTAGTGTCCATTTTGAAGTTTTTGAATGCTGTCACATTTCTAAACTGCTTTTTTTTTCCCCCTGAAATGTTGGGGGTGTCTAATCTCATAGATGTTTCTGCCACAGGCTGCAAGCTTTCACATCTCTAAGGGCATTTCAAAGCATATTAGACAGCTAGCCCTGGTGCTGGTAGTTAACAGAGAAACCTCAGCCTCCTCTCTAGGTGTCAGTGTGGTTATACTGCTTGCATGAAGTGGGATGATGTGATCAGGCTGGATGTTGCAGGGAGGAGCATTTAGAAATTCAGTGTGAAAATGGATTGAATATGGTTCCTCCTTGCTTTGGAGCCCATGGCTGTGCAGAGAACTGCCGGATCATCCTTCCCTGCCTCCAAAAGAGTAGGTGGTGAAGTACAGGAGTACCCATCCTGTCTCAGCTAAAACAGCGAGGAACGGGCTCAGTTCAGTGTGGCAAAGGAAAGAGCTGAAAGCAAACAGAAAATAGGTCATTTGATCGTTCCTGGAGTCACCCAGAGCCTCTGCAGCGGATAAATCCTGTAAGGGGATCATCTCTTTCCGGATATGCCTGCATCGCTATGGTGCCTGGCGGTCGGGCTCGTTTTTCTCCAATTCACTTTTCTTTCTGCTTGACCCTCTGAGCCGCCGACCCTGCGGGGCTCGGGCCCCGTGCGGAGCTGGGGGAGTGCGGGCAGAGCCCGAAGGAGCCGGGGGTCTGTGCCGCCGCTCCCGGCCGGGCGCTGCGCGCGGTGCCACCGCGGGGCCGGGCAGCGCTGGGGCTGCTCCCGTCAGGGGGAGTCCGGGCCTGGAGGGGCTGAGGGAGTCCGGGGAGGGTGAGGGAGCCCAGGCAGCAGGAGAGGGGAACCCAGGCAGCAGAAGCGGGGCTGCGGGCTCCCCACAGCCGGGCTGCCCCGGGGCAAGGCCGCGCCCCCGCTTCCCCGCCTCAAGCCGGCCCATGCCCTGCCTCCCTCTCTGCCAGCAGCGCCTGAAGAGAGTTTGAGCTGAGCAGCCGCTGACCGGCTGGCACAGAGCCCTTCTCTGCATCGCTTTCCGTACCTGCAGGAAAGGAGAAGTGGCTGGAGGGAGCTGGGACCAGGCCAGAGAAGGGGGTGCTGGGGATTCTCCTCTGTCTGGGGCTGATAGGGCCGGGATGCTCCTGTTTTTACAGCAAAAATAGCGTTGGAAGGGACTGTTGGAGAACATCTAGTCCAACCCCCTTGCCAAGGCAGGATCACCAAAATCAGGTTACACAGGAACATGTCCAGGTGGGTCTTGAATATCTCTGGAGAGGGAGACTCCATGACAGCCCTGGGCAGCTGTTCCAGTGTTCCCGCCCCCAACATAATAAAGTTCTTCCTTGTGGTTCTTCTTGTGTTTCACTTTTATGGCCATTGCTCCTCATCCTGTCACTGGCACCACTGAAAAGTGTCTGGCACAGCCTCTTGGCATCATTGAGATGCTTATGTTGACATCCCCTCTCAGTCTTCTCTAGGTTAAGCAGGCCCAGTGCCTGCAGTCTCTCCTCATAAGAGAGATGCTCCAGACCCCTCACTGTCTTTGATCTTTGCTGCACTCTCTCCAGCAGCTCTTTGTCCTTCCACCCTGCCCCCTCTCAGGGTGCTGTGCCCAGAGCTGTGCTGACTGTGCAGACACACCAGCTTGTGGGTCCATCAGCCCTGCTGCCCACAGGACCAGGCTGCAAACCCTCCCTGAGTGAGGTTCATGTGCATGGGATACAAACAGCCCCTCTGGAAGCTATCACAGCTGCCCAGCAGGCAGTGGTGGCACAGAGGGGCCAGTCCTGTGCAAACACAGAGCTGCTGCTCCAGTCTGCATGGCCCCAGCTGGTGCATACAAGCAGGAATCAAAAATGAAGCACAACTGCATGGCCAGACCAAGCTGTGCCTTGCCCATGTAATTCACCAGCTGAAATCCCAGGCATCTATTGACCCACAGTTTGGTACCAAAGAACTGCAGTTCTTGAATACAATTCAGGGTCAGAGGCATTCATCTGTTTTGTTTGCAAGTGTGTCTCTCACTCAATAAAGAGCCTGCTGCAGAAACTTACTGAAGCTTGTATTTGACTTCTTTTATCTCCTGGCCAGGCCCATGCTTCTCTTCTGGGCTGCTGTGATGCACATCTCATGGCATCTGCTTCCAGATGCAGAATTGCCCCAAGACAGGTCCCTGAAAGCAGACCTTGGAGCACTGACAAAGCGTGGCTGGTGCCCTATCTCCCCCTGGGACCTGAGCAGGCAGCAGCAGAGCCTGGCTGACCTCCCTGCTCAGTTTTTCCCTCGCTTTCAGCCTCCTCAGGCACTGGTGCAGTGGCACAGACCTGCCCTCACCTGAACAGCCTGGGCTGAGACTCAGCTGATTTACCTCTGTGTGCACTCTGTAGGCATTGATATCTGATCTAGGCATGCAGAAAGAGCTGCTTTCAGGGCACAGCTCATCTGATCTATTCTAGATGTCTGCTTTTTAATAAGTCACCCCCAGAGTCTCTTTCCCCTCTGTGACAACACAGGGAGCTGGCAGGGACTAGTTCAGACAAGGCCTGTGCAGATGGAGCCCAGTGGGGCCCAGCCTGTGCTCAGCCTTTCAGCTGGAGCTTTGCAAAGTTCCTGCTGTGGCTGGGGGTGTCAGACACCCAACCAGCTGGCACGTGCAGTGTGCAGTTGTGGCTGCTTGCTGTAAGAATGTTAGTTACATGATGGTGTTGCAATCTGGCTCTCATAACATAAGCTAGCAGCCAGATTCTTTGCTCAGGAGGAGAAGGATTGCTTCCCTTGTCTGACCCCCTGTCTCTGAGGGGATCCAAACACCCTCTCCTGCTCCTATGAGCTGTCACAAAGTGGCAGCCTCCTGGGCAGACTTCTCCGTCTCTGCAGCTGAAGTAGTCCTCATGTGGTAGGTCTCTTCCAGATCATGAAGAAATATAGTATCAGCATTTTTATGTTCCTTGATATAAATGAAGTTACAGTGCCAGAAACTGAGACTTCTGATGTTTGTTACAAGTGGTATTTATAACATCAGCATGAAAGCAGAGCCTTTGGAGAAAAGCACAAAAACCCCAGTAATATGATCACACATAAACTGCCTGGGGGAATTAGACCCCACCAGGAAAAGTGACCTGTGCTCTTTCCTAATCACTCTTGAAACTTTCAGAGCAATGTCAATCCACAGATCTGGAAGCACTTCAGAGATGTGTCATAGGTGGGGACATAGCAATTAAAAGCTGTGCCAGAACTCACACTGATTTTTGTAGACTTCAGATAAAATTATTGCATAACATGTAATAGGCAGCTGTAGGTCAGGAACTGTTGCCCCCAGCCAGTCTGCCTGAACCACCACGTGCCTTTCCTCCTCTTCTAGTCTCAGCTTATCAATGTCATCACTCTAAAATAAATGACACTAAAGTTCACACTTTGTGTTCACAGGGACTAACAGAGCTGTTGAAGACTAGAGAGGCTGTTCTCATCATCTAGTCTGACCCTCCACAGCACACCGCAGCTGTTCTTGACCTCTGAAGGCTTCAAATGATGGAAAGGGCCCATGGTCTTGGCTAATTGTTCCAATAATCAAATGCTTTTATTGTGTAGAGCTGCACTTAATCTTTGCTCTCAGTCCATCTAGTGGCAGCTCTAGACACTGTGTTCTCAAAAGACTTTTGAATAAAAAAAACTTACAAAAGCTCCTCTGACAATTAGAAGAGGTTTCTAACATTTAAAGCTGTACTGCACAGTGTATCACAATCTCTATTTTATAAAAAAATATATGTTTCTTTTATATTCAAAGTATCTTATCACATATTGTTTGATACAATAAGTAACAAGCATACACCTCGGTCAGCCAGTTCTACCTTCTCTGCTTTGTCCTACCAAAGACAAGCCAGAGACATGAATGGATGTGCTTTGGCTTGGTGAAACCAGGAATTCATTCTTGATTCCTTCACAGGAAGGAGCACTTACAGTAGTAGGGGCAGCTGCTTTAGCATTAAGCTACTGCTCATGTAAAATCTTGTTTGTAGATCCTAAGCAAGGGAAGTAGTCCTATGCATGTCCAAAATAAGGTTTTATAGGAAAGACCAAGATGAAGAATGATTTGGAGCTGGAGATCAGCATTTCCCACCAGGAAGGGTGAAGCTGTGCTTTGTGGTCAGCACTCTTGTTTCCTCCTGCAGGAGCAGCATGGGACTCACAGGATGCTTTACCTTGCTTAACCCTGCCCCTGCAATGCTGAGCACACCAGCTAAACCCACCTCAACTGGGTGCAGGCATTCTGGGCAGTGTTAGTGCTTGGATCTGACATCTCTTCTATCCATGGCTGCTCTTAGTTCAGCTGTCAGCTGTTCTGAGACCAGAGATGAGAGCACCACTCCAAGAGCTGTTGCTTTTCACCCAGCTGTTTCCCAGCTGTGGGAGACCATGGCACCAGCAGTGTTGGCCATGACATTGTGTTTGCATACATGGAGTCAGAGCCTGCTGTGATGCCAGGTTATGCTGCTGTTGGGGTTTTTCCCTAAGAAGAAAGGAAATAAGTTTGTGCAGTTCAGCAGCAGGAGCAGTAGTAAAGAAAGATGAGTATTCATCTGCCTCTTTGCCAGTTTCCTGGCTGAAACTACAGCCTGTCTCTCCCTCACCTTAAAAAAAGGTATTTATCTCTTAATCACTGAAGTAGAGCTAGAATAATCAAGGAAGAAAAGCAGTTGCCCTAGAGAAATGTTCGGGAAAGTAAATACAAAACCCCGTGTGTCTTCCTATCATGGAAATAATGCAGTTAACTTCTTCAGGTAATAAAATCTAATGTCTGGAGATGCCAGGTGTGCATATGGATAGGTTGGTGTCAGAGTGCTAGGAAGATCAGAGTTACAGCAGCACTACCAGTTGCTGCAGTTTATGTCACTGGAAAACCACCTGAATAGAAACTGAATGTGCTGCATTTCCAGCTAAAAAATGCAAATAATAATGGGTTGGAGCCCTGAATGTGTGGCTGCCCTTGTTGGTGCTGTAGGGTCAAACAATGTTATGACAACTGCCATGGATACAGTGAAGTGATAATGTGCTCAGGGAGTATAAATCAGTCTTTCCTATCTGTATCATTGTGGTGTTCATTACACACTGGGTTTCTGATTGTGAAATGCAACAACATTTGACTGAAGATGATTTGTGTTTGTTAGGGAAGTTCCTCCTGAGCCAAGCCACTCCTTTGGAGCACAGCAAAGAGTTACAGCACCATGACAGGTGATTTTGTGAAGTGTAGGAGTGATTTCACTGTGGATTTCTCCATCCAGGTCCTTCATTGCATGACAAAAACAATGTATGTGAGAGACTGAATGTAATCTTCATTGACTGCCACTGCTCAACTTAAACCAAAATTTTCTTTTGCCACCTGATATCAGTCCCTTGCTGTCAAAAACCTTTTTGCAATCAGTAAAGAAAACAAGCCAAGACAAGCCATGGAGTATTAACTCATCATTTATAATTACTTTTCTTCAGATTAAAATAATTTTGTAAAATCTTGTCAGGTTTGTTTGTTTTATATCAGGTTTTCAGACATCACTTACATTATACATGCTCACACTCAGAAAAGATTATTTCACCCCATGTGTTTACTGTCATTATTCTTTTGAGTATATTCCACTTGATCCTGTAAAATATTAAATGTGCCAGAGGAAATATCAAAGGTGAAGATATTGAATGCTCTTAGTGTTACAAAAGATAAATAAGCTGAAAGTGTTGACAGCCTGAGATGCCAGAAGAAGCTTTGAGTTTTCTCTACTCCAGAACTGCTTTCAAGCCATGGACTTTTCTACTGCAAGATGGGAGGGCAAGGAAGGGCTGAAATAAAATACTGAATGAAGAGAAAATATTTTTATCTTCTACCAGCAAACATTTCTACCCTGGTGTGCTTTTCACTCACCTGGTTGCTCAGCAGGGACAGGAGACCGCATTCCCATCTGTGTGTGCCGCCATTCCCAAAGGCAGGCAGAGGATGGGGCCATGCCTGCCAGAGGTGCAGACTTTTCTAGGGGGAAGCTACCAGTGTCTGTAGGAGGCAGTGGGCACTGAATGCTTCTGTCCATGGCTCTGCTTTGTGTCCTCTTCTTCTCTCCTGCTCTTACATGCACCTGCCAAAGGTGCATCCAGATTCATCCTGCCTTTGGGTCTGGTTTACAGACCTTATGGCCACCTTTTGTTTTACAGCTGAGAGAGAGAGAAAAGTCACATCTGATTCTTTGGCTGTTCAGATCAGGTGTCAGTGGGGAGATGCCTTGGAGCCTCATGCACTCTGGCCTAATAGAAAAGGAGAGTTCATTTTGGGAGAGGAGGTCAGTTCCTGCCTTAAGGGGCTGGTGAGGATAAGCCCCCATCCTCAGACTCCTCTTTCTTCTGCAATCTCAGCCCAGCTTGGCCTGGTGTTTCTCATTGCCCTGCTGAGGGCTTGGCAGCTGGTTTTGTTGCTGCAGTCAGCTCTTTCCTCTTCTCTGAAGGCTCTTTTTTGCTTGGTGCCTCTGCTCCATCCACCCCTTGGCCACTGTTTTCTGTGGCACTGGACATTTCCTGCATAGCCTGCACTGGCTGAAGGGGCTCATTGCTCTTCTTCCACCTCCGGGCCCCCGACCGTGTATTGAACTCATACACTCTGCCAGTAACTTGAAAGAACAAAAAGACAAAAGATTAAAATAATGTTTGCCTTATCAGATTAAGACATGACAGTTCTCAGCATGGAACTGAAATGGGAAACGTGAAGCCCTTGGAATTCAGCTGAGCTGGGGAGGCAGCCCTGAGAGGGAAATCCTCCTTTCTGTGGGGAGCTGGGCATCAGAGTGGCTGCTCAGAGGAGATGCTGGCTGTGCTGCCAGGGAGAACAGGGATATTTAAATATTCCTACTCCAAAAGAAATCAATTTCTTATCACCCTACAAATTTATCCAAGTTCCAGCTACCAGGGGTTAACATGGGCAGTGTAACAAACACATCCATATCTGTAAGGACAAAACTTCTATCTTCAGCCATACTGAGCAAGACCATTGTATATGTCTGTGCCTATTTTGTCATGTAGAGTTGCCTACCAGAGGTAGCAAACCCTGCTTAGGAACACAGCATGCCACATACATCTTCCAGACCATGTCAGCTCATCTGTACTGACCCAGGATTTGGAGATCCAGAGAGTCTTGGCTGCACACATTCCTTCTCCATTTACACAAAATGCTTTCTTCCAGGCTTGCTATCCATTTTGCCATTAGTAGAGTGAAAGTACTGTGTGTTTCATGATTTTCTCATATAGATAAAATATGGTTAAATTTGTGTTGTTTAGCACGCATGGCTATCTCTCATTGTCAGAAAGACTTCTGTCTCTATTCGGTTTTATGGGTAATTTCTACTTGAACATTAAAAGCAAAATATTTTCTCCTTCAGTTCATTGCTACCTAGAGATAAGTGAAAAAATTGCTGTGTGTCCAGTGTGACCCCCTCACAGTCTAACTCACTGTATCTTGCTACAAAGAGAATCAGAAGCTATAATGGCACTTTCTGTAATTAAACAATACAAGACAAACAAAAGACCATTAAGGCTTGGAAAGAAACAGTGGTTACGTGTTTCTAAATGTTGCAGTTTGTATCAGAATTAATGGTTTGTGACACATTAACACAATTTGAGCAACTCAAGATGAAACTGGACCTCTTTATATGTTTTCTGTCTGCTTACAAGTCAGACATGCTGAAGCAGCCTAGATCAGGGAACAGCTTCTGAACATCCCTCTTAATCATATTCAACAGATGATGTCCTGGGGATTATTAAATCTCATTTCCAAAGCAGCAGCCCTTGATCCTTTAGGGTTTGCAATGAGTTGTGGAGAAGAGAGGGGAGGAGTGGGGGGCACACGTTTCCCTGTTGTCACCACAGAGCTGTGTTAGAACTCAATGTTTGTGTCAGGCATGACACAAATGCGGTGGCTCTGGATGAATGTTTGGATGGGCTCAGATATCCTGGAGCCAAGTATGGTCAGGTTTGTTGAGAAAGGGAGCCCCAGCTGTCCTGCAAGAAGACCAGAAAGCAGCTCTTGCAGCAGCCTAGAGACTACCCATGTTTAATATATTACAAATGCAGTTACACAGGGGAAAACCAGGGATTTCGGAGCCCATTCCTCCAGATCTCTTTATAAATAGCAGGTGAGCTTGGACCTGGATCAAACCAGCCTTGAGCAGCCTTGTGGATGGACTTAATTGCACAGTAGGGTCCCACTTGTTTGCCCAAATTGTACTGAAGTCTCCATGCCTGGTGTTTCCCATTAGCTCAACACATCCAACAGCTCTGAGCCAGCTAATAAGAAACACAAGTTACAGGCACTTTGGTGGAAATTGGCCAGATGAATCCAAGCCTTGAAACAAGCCTGCCTTCTTCTGGATGATTTCTAGACCTATTGTTTCAGGCTTATTTTCAGATCTATTTTATAAAAACTTATTTTGTCTGATTGTCACGTTTTACCAGCCCCTCATCTACACGCTGGGGCTTGCAGCCATTAGGCACAGGGCTGGGCACCCTAATTCCAGGCCAAGAATCAAAGTAAGGGGCTCAGGCAGGGGCTGTGTTTCAGGGGAATGAGGTAAGCCAGATCAATCCTCAGTAAAGCAAAAACATTTTTCCTGGAATGAGCCCTGCTGCAGAGCAGTGGCTGTCACTCAGGGAGCTGGATGAGCTCCCCAGAAGCTCATCCTGAGGTTTGTAGCTTTCACCTTATTTTTGCTTTTCCCAGCTGGTTAATCAGATATGCCCAGAGTTCACATAATTAACGTAATGTCACCAGGAGCCTGGTGACACAGGACCTGTTGCCAGCTGATGGCCTTCCCTTTTCTCCCCAACAAGCAGTGCCTGAGCCTTGGATAAACAGCAGCAGCACACTGTTCCTGTAAGGGAGGAGGTTTGTGCAGAAGCCAGTAACTCACCCACCCACTTCTCCAGGGAGAAGTTCAGGAGGTGAAGGCAACACTTCTGCAGTGACATTTACCTCCTGGCCATTCTCCAGACACAAGGTGGGTGAGACCATGTAGCTATGACAGCACCAGAGCAGGAGACTTGCAACACATTCCTTCTCCCCTCCCACCTTTCTATACCACATCCATGCATTCCAGTTTAGCAGAGGAATTGTGAACAGTCTGACCCTCAGATGTGTGCTTTCAAGGGCTATAAGTATATTCTAGAAATATGAAAAGCCAATAGAAATATGTCAAGCCATATTTAAATCAACTAATCCAGTTTGTTTCCAGCCTAATATTCATATCCTCTGTTAATTGCTTTTTATTACCTGGGTCCCTGGCTTCTCCATCAAAGATAGTGTTTAGCTTTGTCATTGTCTGTGAAGAAACACAAAATGAAAAATGAAAACTGTGAATTAAATCAGAAAGAGGAGCAGTAACTTGAAAATTGTGATTTACATGGATGGAGGTGGATCTATGTGGCTTGTATATTGCATTCCTTTAGGCTGTTTGTTTTTAAACCAGTCCAATGGCAATACATTGGACCATAGTCCAATGGCAACAAGAGCCATTTGTGGTGTAGGGTTTCCTCACTAGATATTTAAAGGAGAATTAATAAGTTCTGACGTGCTAAATGCCTCCATGTGTGTTACCACAAGACGATCCCCTCCACCCAGAGTAGGCTTGGGAATCCCCTCTCTGAAAAATGTGGGGAGAGGGAGTTCACTAATCAAAGTGCCTTGCACGGATTCACAGAATATCCTGAGTTAGAAGGGACCCACAAGGACCCAGTCCAGCTCCTGGACCTGCAAAGGATCACTCCAGGAGCCACACCATGTGCCTGAGAGCATTCTGTCTATTTATGCAGTTTTGTAGCCTTTATGCAATTATGTCTGTGAAAAGGAAGGAGCCCTGAGACCCAGGAGCAAAGAAACATCTCCAGCAGTGGAAACATCCATGACATTTTGCTGCAAACAGCTTATCAAGGCCGAACTCTTCACAGCTTGGGTGTGCTGGCACACCTTGCTGGTTGCACTCAGGTGGATCAGAGTTGGCTCCACAGGTCAGTGGAGTCTCAGCAGGGCACTGCTGCCATCAGTGAAGCTGGAGCACTTGTCCCACCTCTGCAGTGAGTGTCCCTGTCATTGTTGTGGGCACAGCCTGTCTGACTTCCCACGTACAGCATTTGGGCAGCAAAGGAGCCCCAGCGCAGGTGAACATCCCTCACACCCTTGTTGCTTCCAAACACAGAGGCCAGCTGGGACAATGAAGTGTTTGCACTTGAGAGCAATTATTTTCTTGCCTATCATTTTTATGCTCTCTTTGGAAAACAGACACCATTCATAGAAAGGGTCCTATGGTCATATTGCATGATGGAGCTGGCAAAACTGGGGCTTCCTTTGAGGCCAGCAGTACTCACCACAGTTACTTCTTTCTTAGGCTTCTTCTTTGCTACAGAAAGGAAAATGCACATTGTTAATAATCAGAATTTTCTGATGGTGACTGTAGACACTAAAGTCAAGATTTCCTCAAAGAAATAGACATTCTTTCTACTCAAATGCTGAGACATCTTAAATGAATCTTTTTTACTTTCAAATGCTGAGTGAGAATCCACAGTTGCCAGTGACTAATCAAAAGACTAGCCTTGAAAAGTCAGTAATGAATGAATAGTAATTTTATTAAACAGATTTCCCTTTCTAAATAATTTGAACGAATACAGAAATTCACCTTTGGGAATATCTGAACTAGAAATGCAGATTATTGTTTTACACAAATGTTTGTGGTTGCAAAGCTGGTGTCAAATATTGGTTTGGAGACAAAACATGGAAGAGCTGCATTTTCAGTCAAGTAAAATTCAGATTGAAGAACAGTTTGGTTGTGTGTGAATTCACCACACTATTAGCTCATCCCACATGCAAACAAATACAGCAGCAGTGCCATGGGCATCTCAACAACACGGATTTGTGGATGATACCCAACCAGTTGCTATGATTTCTTCTCACTCACTCCTTGCCAATTTGTTTAATGGCCTTTCAGTGGAGAGCTGTGCTTGGCCACAAATGTGCTTCCCAGCCAGGTGTGCAAAACTCTGAAGTGCTGCAGGTGGATCTCAGCCTGAGCGCTGATGGGAAACCTGTTCTGTCTGGCCCTTTCTGCCCAGCATTTGAGAACCAGTTTTTCAGAAAGCAAAAAGCGCTCACTTTTTGGAAATCAGCCAACACTGAAATGTCTCAAATTGGGCAACCAAGAGAACAGCTAATTTTGTGGGGTTTGTTAGTCCTGCGTTTTTTCCAGTTGGGAGATACTGACTGAGGAAAGGGGAATTACAAAAGCAAAGTCCTACTCAGCCCATATGGGCAGTGTTTTCTAGCAGAAATGCAATGGGACTAAAAAGAACAAGACTGCTTAAAAAACCATGCTTTTCCATGTGTGATTTATCTCCCTGCTAGGTTATGCAAACATTTTAGAAAGCACCAATACTTCAAAACAATCTTTATTTAAGTGAAGTAATTGTGCCAAGGGAGCAAATGATCAGAGAACGGGGAATTAGAGTGGAGAGGACTCTTGAAGGTGCTATAGATGGCTGGGATTATTTTTTAACAGATAGCATATAAATTGTGTATTTTAACAGATAGCATATAAAAGTGAAAAATACACTCATTCTTTAGCATCTATGACAGAGTATCAGACTACTCTGAATTTGGGTTTTGCCTAATAGTTAATAGATTTGAAGATTAAAAAGGCCATGAAATCGGGCCTCCCATAATTGGCCAGGATTATCTAATCTCAGTAACTTTCTACTGTGTCAAATTTCTATCTAGAAATTAATTTACAGATTTTACACAGAATCATAAACAAGGTCTTATTTTTAAACATTAAGATATAGAAAAGAGGTACACACCTGGAGCATTTATCCTGTAATGAAAAGAAGATTAAGAATGTAGTTAACAAATGTCATGGTTTTCTGTACCAAAAAAAAAAAAAAATTTATTCCCTTTCACTTGGCAAGAAGGATGTGTTTCCTTGAGTTCTGAGATTGGCTTGGTTTATTTGGTTTCTGATTTTGCTTTCACAGAAAGCCTGCATCATTTAATGCTGCTCTCAAACAGGAAAACAGTCCTGAGCATTGCTCTAACACCTCTTTAAGAAGGAATTCTCTTAAAATAATAAAGTCTTGTTGATGATAGCATAATGGATTTATATAATCTGGAACAATATCTTTTCAGATATTGTCATTTTGTTCCATCCTGGGAGGAAGGTCAATTTTTTGGGTCTGATGTGCTCAGAGAATGTCTTTTAAAATATTTGAAAGGTTATAAATGTTTTTGAAAATATAGAAATTGCTTTTTGATCTGAGACCCCAGTCCCCAATAAATCATTTGCCCAATTAATAAATAATAGCAGTATCTTAGATTCATTTGTCATTTTTATCACAACCATTTAATGCTTTGCACACATGATCTGAGCATATAGTCACAGTCATTTAGTAGCTCTTTACATTTAATGTAACTTCCAAATTGATGTCCAAATCCTGAGAATACTTGTAGAAATCCTTTTTTTTTTAAAATCCCAGCCACTTAAAGGACTGCTTATCTTTGTTTTGTGAAGTACAAAGTCAATTTAGAGGCAGTCTGGCTCCAGCCCACTGAGAAAGGAGCCAGCAGGGAACTCTCCACTTCCCACAGTGACTCAGAGCTGCTCCCAGGTGCTTCCATGCCTTTTGCCAAGCATGAACACTTAGAGGTAAGCTTTATGGGCCAGAGCCTTGTAACTGGCTTGGTAAAACTCCAGGAAATCTGCAGAAGTTTTGCCAGAACAATGAATTTGGCATGAACACCAATATTTGCAAAGGACACTGGGATCTGTAGCTAAGAGAGAGGAAAATGCATCCAGTAACTACCTTGATGGGAGCTCCCTCGGAGAGGGGGTCAAATGCAAACCAGAATATTTGTGGTCAGCACAGTCTGGCACAGGCTCCAACTGAGCCTCATGAGCATAGCTGCCTTTAGAGGTTACAATTGCTAATTCCACTCCTTCCCTCTCCTAGTGTTAATGTTACTAAACTAATGAAAAAAGATGCCAGGGACACATTTCCTTGAGTTCATATCATTACCACCCATTAATATCGCTGTGTTAGCATTTACTGCAGTGCAGCCATGCTGCTAGAAAAGATTCAAAGCAGCAGCATTATCATGGCAGAAAGGCTATCTCTGTCACTGCCAGGGAGTGCTGGGGCTTGCCCAGAGTGCCCTTTGGGGACTCACAGCGAGGTGCTGTGTGCCTTCCCTGCCAGGGAACAGCAGAACCATGTCAGCAGCAGGAGCCCCAGGTACAGGCCATACTGCTAGAGAAGATTCAAAGCACTGATACCATCATGGCAGAAAGGCTTGAGCCCTCTCTGTCACTGCCAGGGGGTGCTGGGGCTTGCCCAGAGTGCCATGTGGGGACTCACAGAGAGGTGCTGTGTGCTTTCCCTGCCGGGGGGCAGCAGCTACGGAGCCGTGTCAGCAGCAGGAGCCCCAGGTGGCCCAGCAGCCCCAGGAGCAGCAGTGCGCCGAGGGTGACCACGAACGGCACGTACCACGCTGATGGAGAGTAGATGTTCTCTCTTCTGGTCACAACAGTGACGCCAGGCTTTTAAAACAAGACAGAAGAGTTCCTCAAGGCTGCATGCTGACACCAGATCACCTTTTATCTGGCTGAGGCAGCCCAGCTTGGCCCAGGGCTCGGCAGGTGATGGGCACGGGGAGGTGAAGGGAGACAGGGACTCGTGCCATGCTCCTGCCCGCTGGCTGCCCTGGCAGCTCCTTTAACCCCTGTCTGCAGGGGTCAGAGACCTTGGCACAGAGCCCAAGACCCCTGTGCCTTTGATTTAGCCCTTGGAAAAAACAATTACCAACCTTTATATGAAGAATTACAAGCCACAAAAGTTTAAGTAGAATGACAGTGAATTTATCACAGGGTGAATAGGCTTTTTGAGGTTTTTAGAATGGGGATACAGGGGGCAAGATGGAGGAATCCTGGCATGTCCAGCCTTTCTCCTTCTTCTTGGCCTCCATCTTCTGTTGTGATGTTGGCACTTTTAGATTGGTTTAGAGTAGAAGCTCACTGTCTAACATAGGTGATAGGTATTGGTAAGGAATTGTAAATATTGTACCTGTAGTTTTTACTATATAAAGATAACACTGCCCGGGAGGCGGGCAGAGTGCCTCTGACTGTCTTGCTGAGCAGCCCTCAGCTGGACAGGAGAAAGAATTTTATAGCTAAGATACAATAAACAACCTTAGGACCAAGAACTGAAGAGCTCTGACTCCTCCTCCAAGTGCTGGGCTGGGAAAAGAGACTTTCTAATGTATCTCGGGGTCACTCTGACCAGCAGAGATTCTGAGAGTGGTGAGGTTTAAGAGTCTCAGGTTGCCTGAGAGGCTGTAAGCACACTGGTGGAGGGTGGGCAAGTTCAGGGAATACTGCCATTACTGAGATACTGTTTTCTTTTTACCTAAGGCAAAACTGGAAGTAGGTCATCTTCACTGCAGTAATCATTCAGACTGCTTTGTAAGAGGAGTTGAACCCTAAGAAACTGGGTTATTGTATAAAAAGAAATGGAACTCCTTCTTTTTTACCCAATGACTCGTTCCAGAAGGAAAAACCACACTTCCTGAGCAGTTGCAATCTCCCACATCTTCCTGCGTGTCAGGAGACACATCTAGGAGCTGGCACATCACTTGGTGTTAACAGCTCATTCATTAAGGTCCCATCATGAAACTATTCTCACACATTTCAAAAATTACTCATTCACTCTACCTAGTTCATTACCTAGTGTGGTACTATTAGTTTTGATCACCTACTGAAGTTTTTATTTAATTTTCTGCAAGACATTTGTAATCACGCTGAGTATGAAATTGAGCAGGGTATCTATTTCTTTCCAGTTTAAGGATAATTTTAAAATAATCTATTTAGTCTTGTCAAAAAAAGATACATCCAATCCTTAGAGAAATGCTCAAATAATCTCAATATCACCACCACCACTTTCTCCTCACCTGGACTGAAGTCACAAGTGACATTTTGTAATGGGGCTTCTTTTCTACACTACCTAAACAGCTTTCCAGTTTCTGACTCATTGAGCTGCTGCACTGAATACATGTAAAGAGTAGTGATGGGAGAATTTGCTGTATTGGAAGTGCTCTTCTGGAAAATAGCCTGCAAATGGAAGGCCGATATCTCTGGGGAGACAGATTTAATGCTGTGGTATGTGGTTGAGGCTGTTTGTAGTTGTGGTGAAGCATGGGAAAGAAATACAGAATAAGTTTTTTCAGCTTAACTTTTCATTTCCACATCAAGTTGGGGGAGTAGAAGGCAGTGAAAAAATCATTTATTCCTTCCCAAAAGATCATTAGATAAGAACAGGGTTATTAATCAGTCTGAAAATTTGGAGCTAAGCATGTTCAGAGCAAAGCAACCAGATTTGTATGGTCTGATCTGTGTGGTATGATCCTGCTGTTAGCAGGACCCTTTGGTTCTGGCTCAATTACTAGAAGATTCTAGAAGATCTAGACCATTTTACAGTAAAGCCCTCTTTTACCACTTCACTTGGATACTCATATTTTCATTCCTGCATGCAAGAGAGAAAAGGACAATGCCATCTGCAGGCAGACAGGGAATGGATGGACTGTGGATGATGGAGGGTGGTGCAGCAAGACATGACTGGTACAAGGATAGAGACAGGGTGGTCTGTACCCACAGCCTGTGTCACATCTACAGGCAAGACAAGAGCAAGCTCTCTGCACATCCTGCACCAGCCTGGTGGAAATCAAAAATTGAACTGGTAAGACAGAGCTCAGCTGGGATGGCTGTGCAGAGGGGTGAACAGGATAGCTGGGACACAGGCCCACCTCTCCACAGGATGTGCAAGGTTAGATCCCACCTGGGCTGCCAAAAGATGTGCAGGCTTACTCAGCTCAGCCATAGACCATCACATGGGCGTGGAGTTTAGGAAAGACCCATCCCATCCCTCTGGATTTGCTGTCTGAAATCTGCTCAAACTGCAGCAACACACTGAGCTGTGCAAAACTGCTTCATTTCCTGACATGCTGCTCCAAGTTTTACATGACAGTGATCTCAGGTCTGGAAAAGGGATGCTTTTAAATGATGAGGATTTGTTGTTGTTGTTGTTGTTGTTGTCTGTTTCAACTCTGATAGGCACAGCTTAATGTGCTCCAATGATAAAAAAGCACACAAAACTCAAGGCACATGGGGGAGTGAAGTTATGAATAAAAAAAGAGGTAGTGCAAAATGCATGAGGTAATTTTAAGGTTCCAGGCAAAGGTTAATCCCTGCTCTTTTCTTATTAATAAAGCTGCCAAAATCTTTAACTTTCAAGTTGTATGGCAATGGCAGCATGCCCGGTCCTTTGGCTTCCTGCCCTTTTTGTTTTAGAAACTGAAATACAAAACACATGTTATGACTCTGTACCTGGGACTAATCCTTCATGACACTAAGCACATGAACCACCTCTGGCTGCATCATAAGAGCAAAAGGCTTAGAACCTCCCAGGGCTAGGGGTACTCTAGGGTTTTGGTTTCCCTTTTCATACATCTACCCTCTTCTCCTTACTCCTGTGGAGATTACACCCTAAAAGAAATGCAGAACTGGACAGAAGCTTTAGTGAACTTACCGTAGTTGTTGTGGCAGTAGTTGGGTTTGGGATAACTCTAATGCTTAAGGTCACTGTTCCAGTTTTAGTTAAGTGTGTAGTTTTGTCCCTGGCAGATACTAAATTGTCATCTGTTATGTGGATACGCAGACTGTAAATCCATTTTGTATCAAGTCCACTCTCATAGTCAAACCTTGATGCAAGAATCAGACGAGATGTGTTGGAGCCAGCACTTGGTGAAAAGGTAAAATGACTGTTCTCATTGCCTGCAAAAAGGTAACACCAAAATGCAAAAAAAATCTCCTCAATCCCACATTAAAGCAAATGTGTGTAACAAGTGGTGAAGTGTGGTGAAATGTCAATGACAGGAAGGGCTCCTTGATCTTCCTTGTACCACATAAAATAATTTAAACTACCACAGTCACAAAAGCATTACAATCTAGAATAAGACCTTCTATGGGGACATAGCAGAGAGGAGGCTGTGGAAACACTTCAGAGCCACAGGGCACACAAGAGGTCACCTGAATGACCTGAACCTACAACCATGGGAGCACCCAACAACACCCAGCTGGGGTGAGGACTCTGCCCTGTGGCAGGGCTCATTCCAATACTGGGTGCCCCTGGAGTGCTGCTCCAGCCCCTCTCCAAGGATTCCCCCTCTGCCCAGAGGCAGTGGCCTTTGAAGAGCATTAATGGCTCAGTGACACTAATTCCCTGCAGCGCTTTGTCAGCACTGTGGGGCAGGGAAGAGAGCTCAGAAATGCTGGCTCTCTACCCCTTGTTTTCTGTCCATTGTATCTGGAGAGCTGCTCATGGCCCAGGCTGCAGGCAGAGCAGCTCCAGCTGGTGGGATATGGACAGGCCACATATACAGGAAATCAGAGCCTTGAAAAGGCACCTAATGTGCTTTGGTTTTGCTCTTGTGGCCCCACAGAGAAGAAGAGTTGACATGTCCTTGAAGGCCATGCCTGTTTTATAGCACAAAAAGTGCCATGAGCTGCTCTGTGACTCAGAGGCCAGTGCATGACACAGCTCAGGTCTGTACCACCAGGACTGGGCCCATGGTCAGACACTGATTTATTAACACAGCCATGCCAGTTGTATGGAATCGTGTGTCAATACCATGTCTGTAGAGCCCCTCCTTGGCATCGAGGGACTGCAGTAAGGCAGAGATTCCCTCTCTTGATGTTCACAGCTTTTTAACTGGCTCCTGGACAATCTGCTGCCTCCCTCACAGCAGTCACCTCAGCAACAAAAGAAGGAATTGCCCCAAGAGAGTGTTTCCATTTTTGTGAAGCTGAGTGTCATCCCACACCACTGCAATTCTCCAAGTGGATGCAGCTGATCATGAGGTTCAAAGAAGGATTTTTAAAAGAAGAATTTATTGCATATAGCAGGGACCTATGACATGCAGGTTGGAGCAGTTGTTTTGAACAGTGCACCAGCATCTATGTGGTGGTGAGATATGCAGAAATACAGAACTTTCCATTGTTTCTCAATATTTACTCAGCTGTAATTGGAAGGGAAATTTGACACTGCACACCATTCCAGTTCATTCTTCTGAAGTTCTTGTCAACTATAATTAATAGCCTATTAATTAATATGGCAGGCAATCCAGCCTTGCAAGGGAGTGGTTCTAGCTGCTAGCACCTGTAGTGCCAGTGTAATGATGTGCAGATCATAGCTAGCTCACCATGAAATTAGCACACAAACTGTATTAGGTATTTGTTTATAAATACAAGTGAGCTGTCAGCATTTGGTATTTTTTCCCAGTGTTCCCAGCTCGCCCACTGTGACACAGTACCTTCATTAACGAAGTAACGGAAAGACCTGGGATCAGAATCACGATCTTGACATTCAATCCTGAAGCCATTAATATTGGTCCCAACAGCTAAATCGACTGGGATTTGAAGTGAGAAGAAATTGGGTGAACAAACTGGTTCTTCATCATTTACTTCCAAGACATTCACAGTTACCTGGAAGAAAAGAGCAATAGCAAGCTGAAGCTGCTTCAGTGTGCCAGGACAGAATTTTGCTAATTTCAGAAACTATTTGCTTTTGCCCATTTTGTTCTTTTGATCAACAACAGTTGAAGAGCACTGAAGTCCCCTTCCAGCCTAGCTCCTGCCAGAAAATGTCTGTGATCATTTGTCCTTCAATTCTTCTTGTGATCAACATTTCTTCTGGAACAAGTTCCGTAACCTGAGCCATCTTCCAAAAGTGAAGGCTTTTCAAGCTGATATGTCTCTTTGAGCAATCTGAATTGTGTTATAGTGAAAATGAGAAATAATAATAGTACCACAGAATCATTAAACTCCCTTCCAAAACTCTCAGTTTACCTCACAATCATTAGTTATGCTTCTTAGCATATTTAATAACCATTTAGAGTATGATCCATGGAAGGAAAAGTGTTTATAGACTGTTCCCAGTGAGAGAGAAATGCTGGTAATGGCCTCCTTCATGGGTAGGAGCACCCTGAGTAGAACCAGGTGTGTTTGATGTCACCTGGGATTAGTTAGCTAAAAGAAAAAGGTTACCCTTACCAAAGTTCTTTCTTGTAATGTCTGTTTGTCAGGCAACAGATAAGCTTGACATTGGCAAAAGCTTCTGAGGCTGTTTTCATTAATTGTCACCTTACAACATTATAGATGACAAAGAGATTAAATACCTCCTCGATAGCAACTCTATGGGTGGTGCTTGGCTGGAATGAAGAGCAAGCCTACTACCTGTGTCACCCCCAAGAGATGTGTAAAAATCAAATGTAAAGCAGTCATGAGGGAGAAACTGTGAAAAGAAGTCAAAAGGAGCCTGTCTGTGAGGGACACTGGGATTCTTTGAAAAAAGTTACGATAAAATACTTTTGTGGATGTAGCATCTGTGCTTTTTCTTATGAATAAAATAGCTCTGGGCAGAAAACCTAAGTGCAACCCTGCTATTAAAGCCACATCCTCTCTGTACCACTCCATAAAAACACAGCTCTGCAACACAATTCTCACGTTACTTTGGACACTTTGCAAGGAAAAAAATGACAAACAAAATCAGAAGTATGTTTGAGGGCCAAGGGACACTACAGAGACTCCAAAAAGAGTTTTCCACTAAGCATGGCTACAATTAAATTGTGCTACCTGGCCTCAAGACCCTGTCCTTTTTCAATTTTCTAGTACCTCTGTAGCCATAAAGAATAACTTAAATTGTCTAGGGCACAGAAAACAACTTCACTGTCCAGGTAAAATAAGAAAAAAAAGTCTGAGAAGTGAACAACAGAGTCAAAAATATTGAAATATTATTTTATCCTTTTTGTGAGAAATAAACCAAGACTGAGTAAACAACACCTCTTTCATCTGAGTAATATATAATTGGGCAGGGTTACACTTGGCTTTTACAGAAAGTGCTTTGCCCAGTGTCTTACTGTTCTTGCTAGGAAGAAGAGAGAAAGATGTAGGTAAAGGTGAAGTAGTAGAGTGGATTTACTCACTGATGCTGTTGTAGACTTCTGTTGGTCTGAGGCCTGTACTGTGAAAATATGTTTCTGAGTTGTTTCATAGTCTAACCTAGCTAAAATCCTCACATCTCCTTTCGTTTGGCTGATCCAGAAGATATTTGTGTAATCCCTGGTGCCAGCTCCAGCTACAATGGAGTAAGTGATGACACTGGGTGGCCAGTCCTCATCTGTGGCATGCACTCTTCCAATGCTGGATCCAACTTAGAGACAAAAAAATCCATATTTCATTAACATTTAAAGTAATACAAGGCACAGATGAACCTGAACTAAAGATTTGGTTAGAGTTTTTCACCCAAGAAAAATAAAGCAATGGTATGATAAGCACTATTTCCCTTGGTGTGATATGGCTGCCCTGTACACAGGCTGCTAACAATAAATGCCAAAACACAGGAATGTATAGGGCCTCAGCAGAAGTGCTCCATGGCTGGGCCAAGGGAGTCCTCACTCATCTGTGTCAGTCTGTAAAGGTTTCTGTGCACCACCACAGTCCCTCTAAAAGGCTAATTTAGCACGAGCAGAAAGACAGTCTAAAACAAGACATCCGAGTTCAGTTCCTGGCACTGCCACAGATTTCTTGTGAAATTGCTGAATTTGTCTCTGTCTCAGCTCCCATCTGTACAATTGGAGTTTTTGCCAGTTTAGTCTATTTAAGGGTAGTAGGTGGTTGCATGGTGGAGACCCTATTTGAACTGGAACTTTGAGCCATTTGCCTCATCTACATATATGAAAATTCATTTGGAGCAAAAAAGCATTTAACAACATGGCACATTGTTTCTATCATTTAGGTGCTACTTACTGTACCTTTAGTAATTTCTGAAACACTAAATACATAAGATAGATTACGGAACTCTGGAAAAAATTCATTCACTGGCTTTATCCTGATGTAAATGTAGATGATATCTGGAAATATAAGAGAAGATTAAATCATAAGATTAAATCATATTTAAGTATGGCTGTGAAATTTTCTCATGCATATATTCAAAATACATATGGTATTCCTCTCTCCATGAGAGGAATACAGCATAGAAAACTATCAAAAGAAATGTAAAAGGGATACTTGCTTGAGTAGTTAGGGTGGGCAATATCTTGCACCCTGACAGTCAAAGTATAAACTTCAACTCCTGGATTAGCTGGGTTGTCTAGATCAATAGTTCCAGTCATCTAAAAAGAAAGGAACATAATCATATTTGTACCTCCATACATTAAATCACAGTACACATGATGACAATTACTCTTTTCAACATTCTGTAAGTATGGTTTGCCCCTTAGGTATATAGAACTCTTCTATAGTTAACAAAGACTAATAACAAAGACTAATAGTCAATTCCAGGATGGAATTCCAGGCTTTTTCTACATGCTTACACTTCTGCCCACAAATTTTCTTCCCCTTTAGAGCAGGAAGTTTAATCATTTGGATGATAAGGTCTTGGCCTTTTACCTAGTCAATGCAAAGCTTGTGTAATGAGCTGGCTGTTTGTGCTGCCCTTCCTTGGCTCAACAAGGATCTGCAACTGCTAACAGTGATAGCTTGAGCTATCACCTGAGCTCATGCCTGCAGACACTAAAAAAAGGTATCAGGTCCAGCCACGAGTGTTTTCTCAGGAACCAAGTTGTTATTAAATGGTGGCTCACAGAGATTTAAATCCTAATCTTCTGAGCTCTCTATCTTGCTGTGGAAGCCTCATAAACTTTGGGGCAGTGGGTCTAGCACAGAGGCATCCCCTGCTGGCTGTCTCTTCAGGGAGGTTCCTGGAGGAACAGGTTGCTTGGTGTAGTCTGTTACATTGCACATACACAGGGATCAAAGGCTTGACAACAATCTTATCCTGTGCAGGAAGGAAAATGCTTTTTATGTTGGCAGATGAAGCAGCTAAGAGCGTTCTTATTGACAAGGAAACCTCAGTTCTAAAATTAAAGTAAACCATACAAAATCACTTTACTGCTCCTGTAGCACTCTTGACTTTTAGACAGAATGCCTATTTTCTGTTGTTTCCTTTATTCTGCAGTTGCCCACAGGGGTTTTTTAAAGCAAAAAAACAACCACCATTGCACATGTCCAGGAACTGGTGGGGTTCTGGCCAATGCCAGTTTGCCAGCAGCTATCAGCATAAGGAATCCATATTTTGACATGCAAAATCACAGAAGTGCAAATCCCACCACACTTTTGTGAAAATTTGCCACTCAAAGTGATTTTACAATTCTGACCAGTTACTGAGTGTGAGATTTCTCAAGTATTTAAATTCTTCATGCTGAATAGCAAGGATCTTCCACAGTCTGTCATGAGTTAATGGGTATGAAATGGCATCAAATTTCTCTGTTTATCCATATCAAAGTTGGTGCTTCACACTCCTTAAAAAAGAATTTTTTTTAATCATATCTAGCACATTTATTTAAAACTGAAGAAAACACTCTCTGTTCACTAAATTCTGTAGAATCCTTAGAAAGCATCCTATCTATGGGTATATAGTTCACAACCAGTCAAAACAGTCATTCTCCACATCACACCTACTGTGAAATGGATTAAAGTAATTTTTTTTTCTTGTACAATAAATTTAAAAAGTCCCTTTTAATATTTCATAAGTTGACTTCTCTAATGGGGTAATCTAACATAAAGACACAAATGACTGACCACAAGTCTTCCAGTGGAATCCAGAGTAAAGTTATTGCTTCCAAAACCAGATAATCCAGTGAAAATAAATTGGTTGTTTGATGGATCAGCATCAATATCTTTACAGTAATTTCTAAGATCAACATGAAATGTCCCAGGAGCGGTATTTTCATTTACTTCTTTCCTGTTTAAAACAAACACATTTCCCGTCAAAGCAACTCATGTTTCTGCTTTTGAACTCTTCATATATCACAGGCCGAAACATTGATTTACTTTTTAAATTAAATCCTAGATCTAAATATGCAACCATGGAGGAAGCAGCCCAGACAGTGACCCATACATTGTGACGGACAGCAGCCCTGTAGGATGGGCAGGCTGGTGATAAATGTCCACTGGAGCCTCCATCTGTAGGTCTGGGGCTGTGCCCTCGTCTGCACACAGGCCTGGGGCAGCAAGGCAGCACCAAGGCAAGGAACAGACTCCATACCTGAAGGCAGAAGGATTGCATTCTGGGGGGTTGTCATTGACATCCTCAATAACAATGGTGATCTCCATCTCTCTGGCATGGCCGCTGCTGGGGCTGTCCTCCGCCCGCACCACCAGCGAGATGTTGGGATGGAGCCGCAGCGGAAGCGCATCCTGGTCGATCCTCCCGGCCACCTGCAGCTCTCCAGTCGCTGCCAGAGCAGCCAGGAGTCAGACATTCACCATGGGGGGAAGCAACAAACAGTCATGGTGTATGTGCAGGAGAGCAGGACAGATCAACAGAAAGGTACCAGAATGAAAACAAGCCTTCTGTTCTGTGCAAATCCTGGCGGGTTTAGTTACTTTTTTAAGTGATGCAAAATGGTTCTGAACATTCTGGGTAAGATTAATGGCTAGATACCATTGCTGAAAAATACACCTAGGGGGCCTCAACAGAGGGTTTGTAAAGCATTTAGGTCTCCCTTGCTCTCAATCTTCTAGTGCAAGCCAGAGTGGGGTGCATTCACAGAGTATCAAGGACAACAAGCTGCTGATGCCTGTGCTGTCCTGGCTCCCTAGCTAGTGAAACAGCTTCTCTTTCCAGTGGTATCATTCAAGCATCTGTCAGCACGTCCAAATCTACTCACAGACCAACAGAGCTGCGACAGACTCTGCAAGTGCCCTGGTCAGCCACTCACTTAATACTTTTTTTCACTTCTGTTAGCCTCTGTCAGAAATAGGAGATTTTTATGGTACAGTACTATTCCCAGAGCACAAAGGAGTTAAAAAACAGTGCACACATCCTCTGCATTTTGGAGTGTAATGAGGAGGAAGGTGGCAACACAAGGCCAAAGGGCATAGGGAATCCAAAGCATTTATGGATCATCCTGATCCCCCACAGCACTGTGTTGTGTGGCACTTCTTACAACTGTGATAAACAGATCCAAAGCAATAGCAGACAAGGAGCAAAGCTGTCACTGAATGCCAGCCCTGGAGGAAAAACCCCTGGGGAATGGATGTACAGACCCCAGAGAGCATGAAGAAGATGGAATCACCATGAGAAAGAGACTCCTTTGAGGAGGCTCATGAATGGAACAATGAACTTGAGGTGTAGATTTGCTGTGCGCCTCAGTGCTAGAGAGGATTTCAGACAGGAGGGAGGACATCGCCGTCTAACTACCTGCAGACATTTCAGAAGCCCCAGAAGGGTCACTGCAGCCCTCAGATTAAAAATAAGTCAGCAATCTTACTTCCGCTCAAGGAACCATCATCCTCCAGCCACAAGTCAGTATTTGTCAAGAAGTCACCTTTGGTCTACTTTCTTCAAGATAGATTATCAAGTCTTGGCCAGCTGACCAAAGAATTGCACTTTCTTATAAGGGACTGAGCATTCCTTATTGCTATAGGGAGCCACTAAATAAAATAAGTCTATTTAAAACTAAGGTAATTTCTCTGATAGACAGTCTTTTTTTATTTTATTTTTCAGATGTCAGAAGTCACATTTTTGTTTGTCTGACCTGGATTTATGGAAAAACGTCTGTCAGATGACTGGATGCTGTAGAAAAGTCTGCTGGGAGAATCTCCATCATCAGGATCTCTAGCTGTTATATTGGCAACACTGGTGCCTGGGCTTTGCTCCTCTGGAATCCGGTATATTCTTTGTTTTCTACAAGATAAAATTCAGCAAAGAATGCATCTTGTTTGTAAGGGCAGCTGATTACAGACTTAGCTGAGAAGCCAACTGCAGCAGCAGAGCCATGGCTGGGCTGCTGGGCTCAGAGATGGCTATTTGCATGTCTGGATAAATATCCCATCCACGGGTTCTGCCAGATGGACATGCAGCAGTACTGAATTGGCATGTGGTCATAGCACAGCCACACAAGTAATTATTCTTCCTCTGCAACTTTTCCACAGTAAAAGCAATTTGACTTTCACAGGATGATGGAAGCTGCACAGGTAGGAGGCCATTAAGTCATGTCATCCATCTCGCTAAAGAGCCACCAGCTCATAGAGCCATTTCCTTTAATTCCCTCATTTTGCAAGAGAAAAGCAAAAATTACAATAAGTTATGTAGTTAATCATCTTTTGGAATGAGTGCTGGAGCCTTCTGGAGGGCAACAGTATTACAGAAAAACTGAATTGTTGCTGCAGTAGGCCAAGGCAGGAAGGAGCACTCTTCTGGGTGCCTAACAGATGAACATGCCTCACACATGCCCAGCAGCATCTGTCCATCTGATGCATTTTGCATTGGGAAAATGGTTCTCTACTGGTGCTGGTTGGTATGCCAGTGCTCCTAAATTTCCCATGAATTGAGTTTTTATTGGTCAAATATGGCCTGGCAGGCAATTGTGCAGGATTGCTTACAGTGGTTGCAGTTTGATGTTCACACAGGTACTCAGGTGGACAATTTCAGTACTTGTACCACATGTGAAAATAGGCATGGGCCAGGACAAAAATGGTGCAAGGAATTTCAGAAGACTGATTGATATTACTGAAACACACACGAACTCACACGCATCTCCTAATTCTAGAACTCAAAGGGAGCTGAAGGTCCTCAAGAGTTCAAAAAAAAACATTAGAAGTGTGTTTCAAGACTAAATACTTTTTTCACTTTTAAAACATGCTATGCTACCACTTAGGTAATTGCCTGCTCTGTAGTTCCCAGAAAAGGAAGACACGAGTCCTTTGCTTTTCTCTGAAGACACACATCATGGAGCACTCAGCAATTGGAGCAGAGAATTGCAGAGACAGAACAGAAGATCCCGTGTCTCAAGATCTCCACTTGCAATTTTAAAAATGGTTATGGAGACACACTGTCTTCAACTGTTCTGTCAGTTCATATGAAAAGAGACAAGCATACAGGAGAGAAATCACAGAGGATTTTCCCAGTAAAAACACCTAACTTACCAGAAGCCAGAAGAAAACAAGGAGGTTATGAAGCCTGCTGTGTCAGTTATTCATGAAGTTTCTAGTCTTGGCATTGAGTCCCTTCCTTCCTTATTGTCCTGCTGCTTCCAGAGTCACGCAGAAGGAAACAGATCCCACTCACTCCCACAGCTCTAAGTGGTTTTGGCCCAAGGTAGGAAACTCCCCAGGCCCCCTGGGACCCCAACTCCAACCTCTCTGTGAACAGCAAACTCACCCCAGCTCCACCCTCACAGCCCTACCAACCCTTCTGCACCCTGGTTGTTATCCCATCCCTACTAGATATTTTGGGAAGAAATGGGGCATTATTGGGCACACCCCCATAGCACAAAGCACCAGTACAGCTGGGGAGGAGCTGGGGCCACTTCCTACACAGCTGTGTCTGGGATGTGTCCTGCTGTCCATCTGTCTGCCACCTGCCAGTGACTTTGTACAGGATGGCTCTAGCAGACCTTTTAGTCACTGCCATGTAATTGCAAAGGAAGCATATGCTTGTTTTCTTGTCTTCTCCTTTGTTTTCCTGACTCCACAAGTTTTCCACGGATTTTAACAGCAACAATTCCAAAAGGATGAATGCCAATGTAGTCTTGTGAACACCAAAACCAGATGTGTGTGCAAATACTATGGGAACAATTAAAAAGACTCTTTGAAACTCTGTTATTGACAGCTACAATTGGGGTAAAATAAAGAAGTTTTGCTAACTCCTCGAGTTTCCCCAGCTCTTACCCAGCACTGATTATTACAATGTCAGGCAGTACTCAGCCCCAGCATGCAGCTCTCATTGTAGCAGGGGACAGGCCATACATGTGCATAATAAGGACAGATCATCAAGTGCAATTTAATCTAAAGTTCTTTACAAACTGAGCTGCTCTTTTTGATCTGTAGTGCCAATATAGAAGGGAGAAGATTCAAACCAATACCAGACTCTTTTTGTGCTACAATGAGTCTTAAGTGTTACAGATTCTCAAGTCACTGCAGTTTTCGCTAATTCAAGCAAGTAGATAAATATTTAAAAGAGCTCTTTTAGCATTCCAGACACAAGGATAAATACACAAAAATGACAACATTAGGAGGGAATAATCAGTCTAGAACACAATGTGCAGACATGGGCACTGGGAAGAAGATTCCTTATGATGCCTTAAGTTTCAGCTTTCATATTTTCCAGATACTGCATTAGTATATAAATCTGAACTTCATATAAAGTGTTAGCAAGTTCTCTTCACAGTTCAATTAGACAAAACAATCCTCCTTCAGCTTGAGAACTAAGGACACCATTGCAGCTTCATGCCCCAAAAGGATAAAAAACAGGGAACTGGGGAGAGCAATCTGGGAGGATGGGACTTCATAACCTGAAGGTGTAATTGGACAATGAACCCCAATATGTAAATGGAATGAAACCTCTAAAAGTGTGAAAACTCATGACTGGTTGTCCATCTTGGGTGTAGCCTTGGCTGAGCTCTTGTACTGCCCAAGGTGTATCCTCTGAAGGCTTTTTAATGAATACCCACTTTATTCCTTTAACTCTGCCTAGTCTCTGTTCTAGGCAGCCTCCCAAGGCCTCACTCCTGCTTGCAGAAGTACAGTAACATGGAATGAGTTATTAATGTTCTTGTTTATTGCAGACATGAGGTTCAAGTATTAAGTAGGTAGCAAAAAAAAAATCTACATCAACAGCAACAACACTTCATGCCTATTTCTAACATTTAATTCTTTTGTTTCTTCAGATTCTTCACCCCTTTATCCACCAAGGTCCAGATCATTGGCCTCAGCCCAGGAACCATGTGTTGCTCTAAGTAGAGACAACACCCAGAAGATTGTTCCAAACAAGTGGTGGAACCTCCTGGCATGATGGCCCCAGGTGCTATCCTGTCTCCACTTTTGCAGAGATGGCAGGAGAAGAGCCATCATAAATATTCTCACCAGGGACCTTGTGGAGTCTGACAATCAGGAGACACAATGACAGTGCCTTAAATCCCATCAGTGTCTCATCAGTGACATAGATAAATCAACAACTGTTAGTCAGATCAACTGTAGTAATTGTCAAGCTCCTGCTTCAGGAACAACCATCCATTGTGCTTTCCAGAGCAAAACAGCCTGCTTGTAGCACATGCATATTTGTTCCCATTTTTCTAAATTCTTAATATATCCTGACTCCATTAGCCTTCAAAAGCTATTTCTGACTTGTGTGTTATGACACAATTTCCTGCTTATGACACAGTAAGAGACAACAACGTTTCAAAGATCACCAGGATTGTTTACAAGTGTGTCTGGGAAGAGAAGACTGATCAAAAGGGAGACCTTTTTATGTCTAGACATTTCTGCATGAATAACACAATTATGGTGAAATGCACACCTGCATAAGGAGAGAACCCTATATGATTGTATTCACACCGGGTGAAATCAACCTCCTTGTCTGAACTTGTCCATGAATCTTTGCATAGCTTTAACCTCTGTAAATGCTAACAAGTAAAACAAGCTTGTTTGGCTGTTCTTAGTGTAAAGACAGAGCCTGGAAAACTTTCAACTATTAAGAATACAAATAAGAATAAATGAGTGACATCAGGACAAAGCTTTCCAGTATAAGAATAGGAATTATAGCAAAACTAAAATACTTTTTTCAGTCATATTTTGTTGTCATATGTTAAACCCTCCCACTGGTGCCAAAGCAGTAAACCTGAGAAAACCCCTACATTTTGAGAGCAAGGGAAAATTTTTACTCACGTGGTAAAGTAAGGCCTTTCATCATTGATGTTAATTATATTTATATTCACTGTTCTAGTTGAGTTGAGTCCATCTGGATCTGTCACTGTTATATTTAAGAAGTAACTGTTAAACAAGAAAAACAGAACAAGAATCATTCTGTGTATGTCAGAAAATATTTCTCTGGATACTATAAGCTAATAGGCCGTGGGAATAAAATACATTCTCACCTATGTGGATCTTTCTCATAATCAAATTCTTTTGTGGAAAAAATGGCTCCACTTTCACTGATTGAGAATGGTGCTGTTGCAGGGAGCAGTGAATACTGAAATGGAGAGAACAAGAAATTAGTCTTTTTACCTTTAAACATCTCTCCATTCATTCCTTGCATTGTAGAACAGGGAAAGTTATGGAGGGTCGTGCACCAGAAAAATAACCTGCAAAAGCCTCTGAGCAGATCTGCCCAAGGGTGTAACAACATTTCTTTATTTGCACTTCCTATGCCTCAGATGTGTCAGGGGTTAGAGGGCACGTGGAACTCACTGCCATTGCTTTCACACACGAAGCAGAACTAAACCCCCACAGCTCTGCCTCCCTCCTCACCAGCTCAGCTTCACTGGGCAAAGGCCGAGCACAGACTTCAAGCTAATTGCTTTAATGAATAGCACTAAACATTGAAGCAGCCTCTTCAGGTTCAGTTCTTGAATGTACTGTATTTTATAAAGCCTAAATAAATAAAGCAAAGATACAACATAATTCTTAGCTAAATGCAGTTACTTTCCCCAGCTACCAATGTATCTTTCCCCACAAGTTTTTCTGAATACCAAGAGTATTTTCAGATCAGCCAACATATTTTCATAAGGTAGGTGACAGTTTGTCCTGGGATTGTCCAAAAGCTGATATTCATTTGCCTTGTGATTTCCCTACTGTCTCATTTAAGAGAATTTAAATTGTGATACAGAAGGTTAAAATTTTTACTTACTTTTAGTCACTCTTATCTACAAGAAACATTTTGTAAGCCTTTTGTAAATTTTAAATTCACAGTTTTTACTGTGTCTCTGATTAACTATATCAAATTCTGCCTTCAATATCCCTTAATTTTGGAAGGCTGAGAATTTAAAACACAGTTTATGTCCAAGCATTAAGGCTACTTTTTCTTAGTTTAGTACTGAGAATGCTTCTTTTTTTCCAGATTAAAACTTTTTCTGTGTTTCTGATAAGGAAGGAAGTTGTTGAAAGATGATGGTAATTCACATTTCAGACGCAGCAGATTATACAGTCTCTGGAGTTTTTTGTTTAATACAACTTACTTGGAGTTTTGCATTTTCAGGATCAGCTGCATCAACTCGGTAAATGCGTTCTGGAGGTGTCCCTTCCAGCACATAGATCATCACAGCTGCACGGATGTAAGACAAAGTGTTATCTGAATAAAGCAAAGGGCACAGCAGCAAAGACACTGATGCACTGAGGCTGTCAGGATGTATTACTGCCTGCTGCATCTTCTCTCTTCACAAGTGTAATTCCAAAATCATCACAAAGATCACAGATACTCAAAGGATAAAAAGAAACCAATTACATATCTGCAAACAGGCAACCACCACTGCAATATGAATTGTCCCTCCAAGGCAAAAACTGATCTTCCCTGATGGCCTATCTTGAGTTGTTCATGGGTCATGGAGTAAATTGTGCATTTGGGCTACATCTGTGGGGGTTTTTACCATGCAGATGGGAAGAATACAGCTCTGTGCTAGGTCCTCACCATCATCCCCTTCCTGTCCACACCCAGTGCCCTGCCAGGAGAGCTCAGAGCCTTTCCTCTTCATTTCTGCTTTTCCCTTACACCTGTGAGGCAGATAATTAGCAAATGGTCTGCACTGACTTAAATGCTTGCTTTGCTAAGGCTGATAATTCAGTGCAAGGTACATTCCTTTCCATGCCAGGGATTCTCACAGCTGGGCTATCCCACACTGGACCACTGGCAACAGGCTCATCTCTCCTTGGGCAGAGCAATTAACAGGACAACAGATCTTCAGATCACATAATTTGCTTTATGCCCTTTTGTGTCTGCTGGATCTGCTCTTTCTGGACTATTAATTTCCACTGTGACCCCTACTGACTGCTGCTCCTCATCAGAGCAGTGGGAATCCCAGAGCAGCGTAATGAGCTGTTCCCAGAGGACAACAACATGAATACAAAGTTTAATGAGAGGGAGATGCTTTTTCATAAACAGCAAATGTGCAATTAGTGTCTAATTGTGGCTGGTACTGTTAACTAAAGCCACACAGTCAGACAGATCAGACATCTGTGCTCACCAATTTATGGCAGCTCTAGCTGAGAGTTAAGCTGATGCCTTTATTTGTAACAAGCTCCCACGTAGTGTGTTTCATGCTGTGTCAATCCCTCCAAGTGTCAGATTTAATTATTATTAGATTCCAGTGGCACCCATGATATGCAAGACATCAGCTATACCGAGAAGATGACACAGCCTCTTCCCTGGGGGAAGATAATTTGCTTTACAAACTAAGTATTGTATGGAATCAGGGATGTCACTGTGCTCAGGAGGCACCAGTGAGGAGGGCTGAATGTGAGCAGGCTGCTCTGAACACATCCCTGAGCAACAGGCAAAAGTGCAGCCAGGGTGGTCAGTGCAGACCTGAGGGGTCAGCAGCCAGCTCTGAGTGCCTGCCACAAAGGGATCATAGTTTAGCATTTTCAGATTTTTTTAAACTGAATATATGAAGTATGCTTGGCCATACAGTGCTGTTAGAACAGCAAAACATGCTCTCAGTATTTTATGTAGTGAACTGAACTTTTCTGTCTGCACATGAACACATAATAAACAAATCATTGTATTCTGATGCATCTGGTACAATTTTTGCAGGTCTTCTTCATTAGTAAATAAGCAAGGTAAGATCTCAGAGAGTAAGAGAGTTATTCCCCGCCCTTTCTATCAATGGCAGTGTCACTCACACCAGGTCCAGCACGACTTGCAAAGCCTGCCCTGGCCACAGCTGCAGCCCAGGCTCTCCAGCCCCATTCCCAAGGCTGCTGCACATTCCTCCTCTGGCATCTTTGCCCCTGGTCTAAAAGTAAACTTGGTTAACATCAACTGCCCCATGTAGGAGACAGAACTCTCTGCCTCACTCCATTTGTGCCACCATAGATCACAGGCTCTGAGGTCTCACTCTTGAGACTGATTTCCAACTTAATTTCTTATGTGAAGGTGTAAATGCAATATGCTGATATAAAAAATCTGCAAAGGAATGTTTTTATGGTTTTCTCACAGAAATTCTTGCACATCCAATATGCACTTGTTAAAAATATCTTGCTTGTCCAGTTTCCAACAAACTACATACTCAATGGTCATAATCCCAGAAAACTCCAGATGTCTAATTTAAAAAAATATGCATTTATTGGTATAATTTTTTCTTTTAATTCTCCAGCTGCCTCAAAATGGTTAATTTTTTTTTAAACTTCAAGAAAAATAAAAGGGCATTTCCAAAGATAAAGCATACCAACACTTTGTGTAAAACAAGGCTCTGTTCCTCCCTTGTTTTCCTAAAGGAAAATGCCTAGACTAGCATACCTACAGGCACTGTATGAGATCATAAGCTTATGTCATTTTATGTCATCTTTTCAAGTATTGTTCTTTTCAAATTCTATCATCATCTTACTTTGAATTGCCATATTTCCTCGAAATACAGGATGTTCATTTTTATCTGTTACATGAATAGTCAATATGTTAAGGTCAGTTCTTCCAGTTGTATCATCCACAAAAATCTGCAAATCAAAGCTCTTTGGCATAGTTTCATAATCTAGGATGGGCTTTCCAGAGGTAATAACCTGAAAATAAGAGATTATTATTAGCATATGATGTAAGAGATGAAACTTTTAGTCCAAATGAGAGAATACAAATAAAGGAACATTTTAATCAGTAAAGAGTGAGTGTTTAAGATAATCTTGTACTTGTTGGCACATTTCTCAACAGTGGCAAAAATGAGACAGAAACAGAATAAAGAGACCAAAATGTTGTGTGGCTTCATGGAGTAACTCAAAGGTTTTTTGTGTTAGGAGCAGTTTGAGGAGGAGGTAGTCCAGAAGAAGCTGCCCTGCCTCACAGCTTTGTCTTCAAGTTCAGGACTGTATCTTGCAGGTACGTTTCTGTTTCAAGTGTTTTCCTTTCCACATCAAGCTCCAGGAGTGTTCAATGTGTGATGAGACTGAGAATTCAGAGGAAGCCTTGCAAGACACAAGGGCAGCTTCACTGTTTCTATGTATTAGGAGCATAAGGAGGAAGAACTTTTACTTGAAATAATGAGTGTGGAGGCAGGAGACCATGTAGTCTAACAGCTACCAGAACCTTCCTTGTGTAACCTGTATCTGGGAGAAGACTTGCAGGAAAATCACAGAAGAAGGAAACTTCATGGGTACATAGTCGGAGAGAGGCACCAGAATTGTTTGGGGAAAATGATGAACTAATTGAAAAAATAACCTTGAGTTTTGCAAGATTGATAAGGCAAAATTATTTTGTTTTGGGGATTTTATTTCAAAGGCTTCCAGCTCTGCATATTGCCTTTTAACAAAGAATATGTACTAGCACAAGACTGACATTCTATGAAAAGAAGTAAAGTGCAATCATTCTGGATTTAGGATGAGTCCAGAGGAACAGCAGGATGCTTAAAGTTGTATGCCTCAATCTTCACTGCTGAAACCAATAGATTTTCCCTTTCTTGGACAAGAAAGGAAAAGGTGACAGTTCAGTTTTTAGTGTGGCTAACAAACTGTGAAACTTGAACACAGTAGCAGGGTGCTGTGAAACTGGAGAAAGGAAAACTGATGGGGCTCATGAGTGTATGTGACAAGTAGCATGTCAGTGTATTTACAATACTGCAGAATAAAGGAGGCTGAAGAGCTTCCAGAAAGAAAGCAATGAAAGAAATCCTTGGGTTTAGATGAAATGCTGTGGGCCAGAGGACAAACACAAAAGTGATGCCAGCACAGTTAGAAGACAGAAGTCAAAATAGAGACAAATAACAAAGAATCTGAGGGGAGTGAAGAGAAGCACAAATGTTTTGTGCCTTCTGGTACATAAAACAGCTTCTGTCTGGAACCTCATGGATCTTTTTGTTAAAATACTGCGGGAGAAAATAACTGTGTCCTGGATGGTCTCCTCTCCTCCTACTGTACAGATACAAGTTTCCCATAAAAGTGAGGCTAACACAGAAGAAACATTCTAAAAAGCTTGTCACAACAGTGGAAAGCTTGATGTTCAAAATGAATGTTTGATGGAGATCTAAATACCATAAACACATACAATGAATTCAACATTTTAAAGTGTCCGGTTCTAAGCAGAAGTTATGTGTTCTGCAGATTATCCCTCCAATTCACTGCCAAATATTTTCATTGGTGATGTAACTGCAGCCAGACTAAATGTGTCTAAATACACATCTTCCACCCTTCTTTATAAAGGCCTTGGAAATGAAGATGTGAATCTAAATTGCCTCTTTCTAGGTTGCTTTGAACCTTTTTGGGAACAGCATGCCACTGGTGTAGGCTGTGAGCCAGAATTCACCTTTCCTTCGGGTAGGAGCAAAGCTTACTGATAAAGGCAGGACTGCACACACTTGCAGCAGCTGCAGGCTTCATGAAGGGGGATCTAGAGTCACCCCTAAACTATCTAATGTCTGTCACTCATTCCACATGAGAATTTCACTGCTCACTGCTCCACCACCGATATATTCGATATAGTCAGAGAGCACCACTAAGAGCACCCAGGCAGCAGCAGGTTTTTATGCATTCCACACATCTTCTGCTCCTGAGAACCTTCAAACAGGAGTAAGGTGAGGAGTAAGGGACAGAACTGAGATCTCAGAAATTGTTACTTGTTCAGAAGTCTCAAAATGTATCAAGAAACTTGATATAGCTTTCTGCTGCTGCAACAGGGCTAAATGTGTTTCATAAATACTGAAGAGCCTATTCTAGCAGGTACTTAGTAATCTCATAATTCATTCATGAAATACTGCCTTCTTCTATATCTTAACAAAGATTTCATGGCAACAGGTAGAGCTGAGGTATCTGGTTTTGGAACACATCACTTTTTGTGAAATATTGTTCAGATCTGCTACAACATGGCATAAGTAATTAAAAGTAGCAACCCTCATCAAATAAATTAACTAAAACCACCCATGTATTTATCCTTGCTTTATAAGTTGTAATTAGCACTCCTCTGCTAATTTGCAGAATTTGGATGTAGATTGCTTTATGATTTTTTCATGGCTGGTATTCACTGGCTCAAACTCTTTGTTCTAGTCCTCCAAGTGACTTAGGGAATGTTTAAAAAAGCAACAGCTCAAGCAGAACACAAACAGGCTCACAGGCCATTCTGTTAATATGGCTGTGATATGAAATGGATACAAACTGGCACTTTGGAAGAAGCTGTCTCCAGTTTCCAGCTTTTTTGGCCTTCATTTTCATCCTTGTGTCACCCTCCGCTGTTCTAGAACAATAATTTCTCCATCATCCTTGCCATGAAAAAATCCAAGAGGGACTTTTTTTCTGTTATTTTTCCTCCATATTAACTTCTCAGTCCCACTCAACATGCAGCAATATAAATTCTTGTGTGTCACAACATAAAGATGATGTGGGATGGGACCAAGCAGGTATATAAAAGGACTAAGGTTTTTTTGCAGCTGAAGGGATCACTTTAATTCAAAGTGCCAAAATAAAGCTTAGGAAGGGAGTCCTACTTTATGGAATATCTGTCAGCACAGCCAGTTTAAGGGAGGTATCCTTTTCCTTCTGATTGTTACACAGGAGTCGAGGGAAGAGCATGAAGCAGAGCTCGGGGAGGTTTAGGTTACACATCAGGCAAAGGTTTTCCACCCAGAAAGTGGCTGGACACTGGAGCAGCTCCCCAGGGCAGTGGTCCCAGCATCAGGCCTGGCAGAGTTAAAGAAGCAATTGGACAATGCTCTCAGGCACATGGAGTGATTCTTGGGGTGATCCAGGAGCTGGATTTCATAATCCTGAAGGAACCCTCCCAACATTATATTCTATAATGCTATGATTATATGGTCTCCTCAGCTGACCCAGTCCAGGTATTTGTACAGTCCCACCCTGTGCTTCACAGGTAAAGTTGGCTTTTGTGAGAGGTTTTTTAACCATTTCACTGACCTGGCTGGGGAGCAGTAAAGAGCCATCAGAGGTGGCACAGGTGATCTTTGTGCTCTGCTGGGAGGCTGGAGCATGGGAGACACAGCAGCTCCTGCAGGCTCATCAAATCCATGAGCCAATATCATAGCCTTACTTTTTCCAAATTTTCTCCCAGAAACACCAGCAAAGAGAACTGGAAAAAAAGCTGTTGTATCAGTTCTGTGAAAACCTGAATTTCCTTGGAAACACCTAGAAAAGGATATTCAAACCACCTTTTTAAGACTCTGCACCATTTCCATCTGTATCTATTCAAGCCACCCTTCAGTGTCACTGTTCAGGCTCAGACACACAAGCAAGTTGCAGTGGGATGACAAGTTATCATGCATCTGAACACTCATTGCCTGTGACAAATGTGAGCTAATATTTGCTGATTTATTCAACAATGAAAATCAGCCTGAAGTAATGGAGATTACTCTGCATTTGCCACAGGACAAGAGCATGGAATGGATAGAGACAGGTCACAGATGTGTGGAAGGGTGATAGCTCCTACGTCAAGATAACTTCCTCATATGTCACAGCCTTTGTTCAGAATTAAAAATTACTTTGATCTAATTCAGTTTCATTTATTTTGGGAGTAAAACAAATTAATTTTCATTCTTGGTGAGAGTGGCCAAACAGAAGCTGAATGTGGTTTAACTAAGGCACTTTCATTTCACAGTGACTTCATACATATTAAGCTGAAAAACTTTGGATAAAATCTCAAAACAGAAGCAGATCCTCCACATTCTTCTTCACCTCTTATTTTCTAAAAATCACATTTTTTCTATCACAGAACTAATGGAATTATTGTGATGAGTGATTTTTCCTAGATGCAATTAAAAATCATAATTACTATTGCTATTCATCTGTCATATCTATTGCAGCATTTTTGAATACCACCACAGTCTGCATTTAAAATTCTTTTCTGATAAAAAGATGAGACGTGCACTGTCAGTGCTCAGTAATCCAGGAAACATCAGCCTACAACTGAAAATTACTCAAGTTAAACTGAAAACTCACCCTGAATTCAAGACCTCCTTTTGATACAACGTCAAAAGCTTCTGTGAGTGGATTTGAATTTACTATGGTAGGACGAATTGCAACACCTTCAGAAGCCAATGGAGAAAGAGTCACATTAAAGTCATAGACTGCAACACCAGCTGCAGAGTTTTCTTCAACAGTGCTTGTTGCAGGTAAGCCCTGAAGCAACTGGGATCTTCTTCCTGCAGAGGAAAATGAATGCAAAATTACACAGCTAACAAATACACAGCTTTTGTCAAGAGCTGCCACTAAGTAACACAAAAAGCCCTGACTCTCTTTTTACCGATGAATGGGTACATGTGGTAGTAAATCTAGAATTAATGGTAAAAGAATCCATCTTTTCTGTAATTCAGTCCTATAGTATTGTCATCTAGAGTGGTCATTGTCAAAGTATTATTTTGCTGCTTCATTTGCCTTCATATATGTCTTTGTACAGAAGCAAAGAAGCCCAAAACGTTTCAATTTTTCATTTTGCTCCCTGTACTAATTCTTGTCTCTGCTCACTGTTACATGAAGTACCTTAGATCACACAGACCCAGACACTAAAGAAGCAATGTTTTTTTTGTGGACTACACTATCTGCAGCACCTATTTCCTCCATTTTCCCTCTTCTAATTCTTTCTACAGCAGCTGTGTGCAAGCCTGGCTCTTGAGTAGTGTGATTTCATAACAATTTCAGGGGTGTACTGTCATGTCTCCTGCTTTGAGTGAGGAAGAGCAGCCTGGAGTGTTTGGAGAAGATGCAGGCCCACAAAAGCACCCTATGGTTCAAAACTGCATGGGAGCTGCACATGCTGGTGAGGCATCCACAGATTTGCACAAGCTCCTCATTCGTCCAGACCTCTGGATTCCCCAAACCAAACCTTTTGCTTTCTCTGTCATTTAGTTTCTAGTTTTTGGTATTTTTGTCAAAGGCCTGTTGTGCTTCATCTTATGAAAGGTGTCTAGACAACTTAAATCAGGGCTGCTTTTGATGCCCTGAAACAACACTTCAGTAATCTCATATCCCTGAGCCAGCAATGTACCTCAACACGAGACTGTGGCAGGGGAGACTCTTGTTTGGGGATGGATGCTTCACTGGCTCATCCAAAACAGTCTCCAAGAAAGCTGGCTGTGTTCAGCCAAACTTCTACACATTGTGCCAATAGGGAGACAGATACTGCCCACTGTGATCAGCCAAACTTCCTGCACACACTCTGTGCCAAGAGGGAGACAGATAGTGCCCATTTAAGGGTCTGGACAGGCTCTTCATATACCAGCAATTACTGTGGCAAAAGCTCCATGAAGTCTTTTTTTTTTTTGCTGCAGAGTTGCAAGGTGAAAAGCTGCTACAGAATCTGAGACCATTAGAGCTGCATGGAGATTCTCATGCTCCCACACTGCAGATACAGCAGGTTCCTGGGTCACTGATCCAGCTGGGATTACTTGGGCATTTATGGAAAAAATTACACTGGAGATACTCCACAGGTACAGGGTGGGATGTGGGACACTGTGAGGTGGGAACTGCCTGAAAGAGTTAATCTCTGACCTGACTGAACAGGTCAGTCTGACACCCTGGTAGGACTGAGTTCAGCTGAGCTGTTACTGATTTATGTCAGCAGGAGCATGATACAGTGAAGGACTAAGTTTTTATTACTGTTATTACAAATTCTGGAAAACATATCAACAAAAATCACCCATGCAAATGAGGCTGGGCTGAGAGGGGCTTCTGGAGATACATTTCCATAAGTGGAGCTGAATTTCAAATGTAATCTCCTGTGGATAGTACTTGATGAATTCAGTTCACTTATCAAGCCACAGTTCATTAATGGAAACCATTTATACAAGCAATGAAATAATTTACAGTATTTAGAAATGTAGAAAGGAGTTGCTATTTTTGTGTTATGTCCAAAGATTGCATTGGCTGTTTATTCAGAATTTGTCTTTCTAAATCAAAAGTTCTAACTTCTTGCTCTTCATTTTAACTGAAATTTTAGGTGCTGCATCTGAATGGCTTCTTCCTTTTCCAACAAATTTTACAAAACTTCTCCTTCCATATTCACAAATCTTTGCTTACCTCTTTACTTTGCAGACCAAAATATTTCTGTAGCAATTTAACACATTATTTATCAGAATTATCAATGACAATAATTGACAAATTATGAGTCCAAGACAAAGCAATAATGAGATTGTTTTGGAGAAGTTTATGTATATTTAAGACTTATTTATCTGCGATGTTCCAGTCTTTAGAGTGTGCTTGAGTAACACCCTCAAGATTTTCTCTATCCACAACCACGCAGGTTAGAAAAATGTTATTTTTCAAAGAAAGCTGAAAGTGGCAGGCAGGGTCCTAATCACAGTTTTGGGAACGTCAGGAAAACCACTGAATGCTGAGAGGCTCCTGAGGGATGGCAGAGCTTTTGCAGCTCCTTGAGAGCAAAATGACCCTACCTGAGCAGGTGCCTACAGCAACACCAGTTCTTCATGTGCCATGCAGATTTCAGACAGTTTGAAGATCTACTAAGTTGCTAATGTGCAAATACTCGTATTGGCAAATCTCCCATGTATTTACACTGATCAAAGTTAGTCATGTTATGCTATGGATATTGTCCACAACTTTCTCTCTGTTTGGCCCTGTTAGATTGCCTGTTTTACTTTATCAAAGAGAAATGCTATCAATATCTGAAAGGAGGATACTGGAGTGTAACTACTAGTTATTGCTTCTTGGAGAGCTGACCTCCTTTCCCACTCCAGTGCTGACACACTGGGCAGTGGCTATTAGAAATGAAGTGCCTCATCCAAAAAAGAGTTTTAGCAAAGAGTCATATTCTCTTCATTATTCTGCTGTAACCACAAAGCCCAGTCTATTTCAGTCAGAAAATAATTGTTGCTTGATTTCTCCCATCTGTGTCTGATCCCTAAATATGTATTATAAAGTTCCCTAGAGAAATTATAACAGCCAACAGTGTTCTAATTTTAGCAGCATAATGAAATCATGTTCTTACCAGATACTACTCCCAGCAAAATTAGGAAAAGGAGCATGCTCTTCATTGTCTTTATGACCCTGTCCTTCATGTTCCCAGCATGCAAACTGAAGGAAGATCACAGTATGTTTTCCCCAGTTTACATCAGCTCCATCTAAATTCTTCCTCTTTTTCATGTTGTGCAGTGAGAAATGAAACAAAGGACCTGTGTCTCCAAGGGAGTTTCCAAACACCATCAGCTTGTTTGCTCGTCAGGGAGCTGTTCCTTGCTGACACTTCATTCACAGCCCTGGTCTGCACTTGGGAAAACAGTCATTAATTGTCCTTCCACTATAATCATCTTATTCAATGAAGCATTATGCAGAGAATCTAGTATGTTTTAAATCTGGAAATACCATGTTGCTTTCACCACTCCAGCAATGAGGTGCTCTCTTCATTCACCAGAATCAAATACACATGGTTTTTACCCAAACCAGGAACCTGAAGTTTTGAAGAGTACCGGAGAATTTCTCAGAACACACATACTACATTCTTGGAGGTGAGGCATGAGTACATGATGAAGTTTGTACATGATGCAGCTTTGCTGTAGCTGTCTCAGGAACACTGTGGATCCCCACAGAAGTGCACTGGTTCCCTTAGATTAGGCATTTAACTTGCTAGCTCACAATACAGCCAACTTTTTTTTTTTTTTCTTTTTAACTAGGGACAGTCCCAGTGCTATTTCATGGAGCATAGGAGAGAAGTGACGCTAACACTGGAACTGAGTACAATATAGGTGCATTAGAATTCACTCATAGAATAATTTAGCCTGGAAGGCACCTCTGGACGTCACCTAGTCAAATATCCTGCTCAAAGCAGGCTTAATTAAATCAGGTTGCTCAGGGATTCATCAAGCTGATTCTCAACACCTCCACACAAACTTAGCAGCTCTGCTAAGAGGCAGAATTTTGAGATTCAGATTTAACACAGCTGTGGAGAAACCTGACTGAATTGTGATCTCAGCTGGCACCTCTGCATGTTTCTGCACGACCCTCTGTGGCTGTCCCACTGAAGGCTGACAGTAGCTCAGAAAGTTCTGTCCCTTGCTTCTGTGTCTTGTGTAGCATGAGCATGTTAATTGAACATGCTGAGCATGAGCAGCCAGTTTAACACCAGGGCAGGCACTGCCAGTGCCTGCTGCACTCACACCTCAGGCTATGGTACCTGCGTATCCTGGAGAATTCTGCTGACACCTTGACCTGGAAAAGCTGCATCAGTAAAGCCTGTTGATTGGAACTGAACCATACCTACGTATCATATACTGATTTCTCAGTTTACAGATTCTCATGAGGAATCATGAGAAGTACTCATTTTATGGCTAATCTGCATCTATTTTAAAGTGCTTCTAGGACCTTGTAATGGTTTAAAGTGGATGTGGCCACACAATATCATTTTGGAGCACAGCCTGTAGTACCAAGGAAGCTGATCTTCCTTTGTCCCAGGAAATGTGTGTCTAGACTTCACATTAGTAAAGAAAGAGTATGGAAAATCTCACTCTCAAATGACCGAGTTATGCTAATAAAATGTAAATATATTTATAGTTTCAAAAAATTCTAACATGTCCCTTTACCTACCAGGTCTTTGCCCATCCCTTCAAATGCATTTCCTGAGTTCACAAAGAAGCTTTTGATGTGACAGGATGCCTCACAAAGATGAGGTCTGTGTGCACAGGCATGAATCAGGCTTGTACAATGTAATGTCTTGTACAGTGATCTTCTACTAATTACCAGAACACTGTTAAACTGCTGCTAGCTTTATTTCCTCCTTTTAGTTGTAATGTGTAACCTATCCCATTATAAGCCTGTTTCTTTAGGTCTTGAAAAAACTACAGAAACATCTGGGATAAGTTTCAAAGTATTTCAGGATTTCTAAATTTGTTTAGGATCTGCTTTGAGGGATAGGACTGATTCCATCCTATGCTCTGGATAGACAAGACTTCTCCAGAACTCATAGGTCACAATTTCATCCTTTATTTTCTTTCTTTTCTTCTTAGGCTGGGTTTTGGTGGGGAGAAGGGGGAATTTGGTTTTGGTGTGGCTTTTTTTGTTCCTAAATAAATATAAATATATTTTAAATATATGTGTTATATATATCTTTATGTATTTTTATTTATAAATACATTTCTCAGCTTCTTTGTTTTGATCCTCTTTCTGACAATGTACACAGATCTAATTTCAGCAAGGATTCAAAGTCCGTAAACATAAACCAGACATTATTTATGATATAAACACTATAGAGAGCTACAGGAGACATGTATGGGAAAGGCATCAGGAATGCACACGTGCTTGCAATGCTATCCTGTCCTCAACTTCACCTGGAAATGCAATGGGTAATTGTTTCAGGTACCAAGTAAATACCCATAGAGCAGTTAATTTCTGCTTTCCCTCTAAATATGTCTCCAGGGCTTTCAGGTAGTTCCTGTTAAGCCTCCTGGTTCAAGCCTGTTGTGAGGAGACTAAAGGTGACCATGGAGATGAGGGGAGAGCCAAGCAAGCCTGCAGGAGGGGCAGTGTGGAGAGCAGCTCATGTGGGTGGAGTAAGGGAGAGCAGAAAGGGCTCTGGCTCCTTCTTCTTCCTTGAGTCACTTCCAGTGTGTCCCATTACTTCCCTCAGATCCCTCAGTTCTTATATTCCTCCAAGTGGATTTCTGTGGTTCTCAGATTCCACCAGCCAGGCTGTGAGACATGAAGTGAAAGGGCAGCCAGAATTAAAAGAGAGCCTAGAAGAGGTTGAAAATCAAGTAGAGAAAAGCATGTGAGCTGGTTAGGAACAGGTGAATTAGGAAAAGGTGAGCGAGGCAGAAATTCACTGGCAAGTCTAGAAACAGCAGCATTTACCCTCTAAGGAGATCAGGAATGAGCTTCCTGGGAATATAAAGCAACTAGATGAAGAGAGGTCAAAGCAACACAAGGAAGAATACAACTAGGGAGTTTTCAGGCAAAATAGAGAGAAGATTAATTTTGGAGCAAATGAAGAGGACAAAAGAAAAAGGTTTTGTAATTCTCTGGTTTTCAAGATGATTTGCAACTTTATTTGGGTGCTTTGGAGCAAAATAAAATGCACTTCTGAAAAAAAGTCTTCTGGACTATCAGGTAAAATGGAGAATATGAGGAAGATGCAACATCTTTCAAGAGATTAAAGAATCCTGGTTCCAAGGAAAAGATCAACAGATGGGAATATGATAGAATGCACTGGTCTGTGATGAAAACAAGTCCTCCCATTGCTCCAGCAGTTATACACTCAAGAGATGAAAGCATTTGCCAGAGAAGAGGGAATCCTGAGAGTCTGCCTTTTGCAACCAAGAATTTGAGCACTTATTTTAGGACCACTGGGAATATGGAAGGCATTAAGGTAGCAGAGATTTTTCTGATCCTTCCCATTCCCTCTGCTTCATCTAGAAAGTGTGGTCTGAGGCAGACAGATGATTACAAGGACGCAAATTAAAGAAAGTTCCAGAGGTACTTGAATGCTGCAATGTAAAGATCAAGTGACAACAGCAAAGCCACACAGAAACTCCAGAAAAGACAGAGGTCCTAGTCCAACTCCCAAGCTCAATCATGACAACTGGGAGACACCATGACTGCAAAAACCACATTGCTGCTAAATATTTTTCCCTTTAAGAAGTTCTTGTGCTGCTTAAAAATACTACATTTTCTTCTGCCTTAACAAAACATGGAAGTCAGTGATAACAAGTTTTAATATTCATTCACCCAAGCAAAGGTAGATGTTACCAGCAAGTATTCTGTGTTTTGTGATTTGAGATGAATAATGTGTAATAGAAAATTTGGTGTCTACAAAAAATTGTGTCACTTGTCCATACCAAATACGTTTAACCCTTGAATTTTAATAATATCTTCCAAACTAAGTTCTAGTGCCATTAAAGATACAGTGAAAAATGTGTTGCTGCCAATGAAGTCTTCTTTTTGCATTTACTGGTTATTGGATGAGGGCCTGAACCCATGCAGCAATACTTTGTACCTGATGACACAGCATTTACTCCCTATTACACATTTGTAATTGTAATTGCTTGGCCACCTGAGCTGTTTGGTAAATATATAAACCAGGCTGTGAATAGCAAAAGATGCAAGTGCAACAAGAAAGAATGATCTGGGAAAATATGCGTACACAGACTCTAAGGTTTCTATGTACACAGTGTGATGCACTTCATTTAGTCAAGTATTTTATTATATCATCAAGAATTACTTAAACACCATGAAACATGAAAAACCTTTGCATTATGAAACATGAAAAATCTTCCCTGTTTTATCAGCAAAAGGCATTTGATTATTTTTGCAAAAGCAACTTTGCATTTTAGCACACATAAAATATTTTCTATTGACTTTGAAAAAACAACCCACAGAAAAGTGTGCAACTAACAGAAAAGGGCACAGGGTGAGGGCTCAGGTGGGAGAGTTTCACATGGAGATAGATGGATTTTTTACACGTAAGTTCCTCCATCCTTTGAACAAGAGGATTGAGAATAATTCACTACTCCCTAACAGTGTGAAATTTTGTTTGTTTATGGTTTCAAGAGCTTTGAGATCATCAGCTGGGCTCTGTGGCTCTGCATGGGACCAGAAGGGGGACATGGAAGGAGGGAAGTTTCACTCTCCACTTTTGTTTCAGAGAACTTAATCATTGGAAAATCATTAGATCGTGGTCTCACAAAAATCAATGACAAGCCTGGTTTTGAAAGGAGCAATTTCAGTAGACCTGGACCTTGATAAAGTGGTACAAAGGCAAAAAAAATCTTCATCACCCAAAGGAGATAGAATTATTCATTGCTGGCCCTTTTCCTTGTTGTTCTCTGCTGACTAGAGAAAACCTTTAGAAATATCACATAGAGATAGGGTTAAATTCATCTGGGTACAGACACAGAATTACTTTTTTACAGTTGCTGAGTTTAGATTATGCTGATTTTATATGAGAACAAATATGAATGGAAAAAAATAATCCACTTACAATTGACATGAGGCAACATTATATCTGAGTAATGACTTGACTGGATCTGACACCACATTAATACACAAAAGGCAGCAGGAAACCAGTGCAATATTCCAGATGTATATATTTCTTGCCTGTGGATTTTAGCATCGACATCATAGAACAGCCTGAGACCATAAGAGCTTTCTTAATGAAACAGAAGATACCACAGAGTAAACCTAGTGTCCAATAAATGTTTTGACAGAGAGCTATGAAGCTGTAAAGGTAGGTGGATGAATGCACAGAGATTTTAAAAAGCCTGCAGCCCATATTGAGTTTAATCACATAAAACCTGGCTGTTACAATATGAGCTGCATGGGTGACAACAAGGAAACAAGGTCAGGATGTGTCCCTTTGCTGTGTGTGGCTCCCCTGACCATTGCAGGAGCTGAGGGAATATTGCCATCTAGTGCCACACAGAAATCCAGCTGTCTAAACAGAAAAGAGCCATTTAATTCATGCAGGCAATAGTTACAAAGCATCCTAAAAGGATATTATGGGATATATGTGCCCAGGACACCATTTTGGTCAGTGTCTTTGCCAGGCTTGTTATTAGAAATGGTACATTTTCTCCTTTAAAAA